CTCAGGAACGCAGATGTCTCTGAGCATGTGGGCAGGTAAAAGAGGCGCAGAGAAGTCTGTGGTGTCCTTGCTAAGCGCCACAAGTTAGTAAACAAAAGCGGGCATGAGCAGTGTTGCTTTTGGAGACGGATATAAAGTACGCAGCTTCCTAAACTTTTCACTTAGCAGCAGTGCTGCCGTTGGATCCTCTTCCATCCGAGAGTGCTCACAGCAGACGATCTGTCCTCGCGCTGCCATGGCCAGTCTGAGCTGAAGTCGGAGAAGCTTGTTACCTCACTACATCCAGATTGTTAATGAACTGTGCAAGTGCGAAGCTTATTCTGGCAGATTCCACCCGCCAATCAGAAGCTCCCACTAGTAGGTGGGTGTAAACTTCAGCTGGCCAATCAGACCATAGGCGAGTGTGTATGGTCAGCTCTGCACGAACAACACGTGGACAGCACCAATTTAAACACAATTACCCTATCAGGGCTAGACCGAGTTGACCTAAGTCTAAATGTGGTTTCTGTGACTGTAAGCAGCCCAAACCATAAGCCATCCTCCACCAACATGCTTTCATATTCTTTTAGAGATAAAGAAGTTTGCTTCAACAACCCTTAATAACACCTGTTTAGTCCTTTTGTCATTGTCCTACAATGACCTTTAACCTTTAGCCTGCCAACTGAGGCCTGTAGAGTCTGAGATGGAACTCTTGGGTTTCATGTCAATTCTCTGGCCTCTGACATCCGCTCCTGGGAAGATCATCAGCTGCCTTAAATGTTTTCCACTTGAGAATAATCCTACTCCCTGTAGATTATTGGAAATGACCTTTAACCCTTCCCAGATTGATGGCCAACAACAGTTGCTTCTCTAAGGTCATTGTTGGCATCATGTCGCCACACGCCTGGATGCTCCAGAGTCTTTTACAGGAGGTTTTTTCATGCAGGTTATTTTTATCTAATCTGAAGACCCTGTGAGAACAGAGAGCCATTACAGCTGAAGATAGTGTTCTTGTTGTTTTTCAGAATGACTAAATACATAAGTAGGTAGGGGAGACACATGACAACATGATCTCTGTGCTCCATCCAAGACTTTTAACGAGGGAGTGGTAGATCTACCCTCCTTTCTGACCTACTCCACATACGTCCACCAACATTTTTACAGCTGCACAGCTGTGAGGGTGGGAGGAGCCCTTCCTCTATGATGAGAGACAGAGCCGGGGAGAGGGTGGACGGGCTCTCGTGGTTGAGCAAGGACGGGATCTCACCGGACGTAATCAGAAGCTCTCACAGACTGAAGGAAACTTTTTGTGATGCAGTTGTAGCCTCAAAGACTGTGAAAGGACCGACCAGCATGCAGGGCCGGGCAGCCAAAGTCCCCAAGAAGGAAATGGTGATAGAGTCTCCACAGCAGTACAAGAGTCTAGCTGAGATAGAGGCTGAAGTGGAGGGGGTGTCACAGGTGGCAGTGGTGAGTTTTCTCTATTCTTCATCGTCTTTGGCTATTTAACAGGTCAGGGGGTAGGTCATCTTTGTGCCTTGAGATGAGAACTAGCAGCTTCAAGGTACCTCTCTCCAGGGGGCTGAATGTTCATCTTTTGATAGACAACATACCCCTTTTGTTCATTTGCTCTTCCTGTGCATCTGAGTCTAAATGTATTCATGTTTTGTGGTCATGCGTGTTGATTACTGGTGTGCCACTGTTCACAGCTGCTAGCTGTTATCGTCTGTCTGACGGGCAAACATCCAGACTAAATCAGATGATGTTTTTACATCTGGAGGGCTGAGAAATGAAAGGGTCTTTGCATTACATCAGTGGGAGAATTGGGCAAATGAATCAAAATGTAAATCAGTGGTCAGACGCAATTGTGATTGCTATACGTTTATTGCATTCAAATACTTTTGATAGAATCTAGTAGATACATTAAACTCTGGAAGATGCAGTTGATAAATCTTCTGTAAACAGTTCAACTCTGATTAGTTTGCTGAACTCTTCTTTCATTATTTTATTGGCAAAGGGTGTATCAGTGCGCTTTTGGATTTTGGAAGACTGCACATTAACACGTCTGTGTTGCATCAGAGTTGTTTTAATTCCAAAAATCTTTGATCTGAGTAACATGTAAGTTTTTTTGTGGAAGCTACATTAAATCTGGTGTCAGCCTTGTGAAGTGTGTGGCTTTACCCGTGACAGGGTTTCATGCTCAGGGTCAGACATAATGTTTTAATTCACCACTTCACCAGTGTGTTTTTCTTCTTTGTGAGACAAACACCTCCTGCATAACCAGGTTACTGGTACGGAAGCCTGGAAAGGCCAGAACTCCTCTAACGTATTTTTTTCCCCTACTGGCTAATATGAATTAATATAATAGAATAGAGTAACTGTTATTAGTCCCACAGTGGGGACATCCACTCATTACAGCAGCACACACACTTAGAGACACAGATTACAGGTAAAACTGAGATTCCAGCCATGTTTGCTTTGATAACTTCAATAACTTCATGCTGATGACCCACATGAACATAATCCTCTGTTTAGTGGATGCAACTACATCATGAAGTTAGCTTAACATGTTAGATTTTTTTCTTGGAAGGACATAATAACTGGTAATATTATGAATGACATGATATTGCCCACCCCTAGATGGAATTTAATTTTTTTTAATATTAATTATAATTAAAAGTTCCTGTGTGACATTTGTGACATGTAGCTGTAACTCTTTACTGCAGATAGATAGATAGATAGATAGATAGATAGATAGATAGATAGATAGATAGATAGATAGATAGATAGATAGATAGATAGATGATAGATAGATAGATAGATAGATAGATGATAGATAGATAGATAGATAGATAGATAGATAGATAGATAGATGATAGATAGATAGATAGATAGATAGATAGATAGATAGATAGATAGATAGATAGATAGATAGATAGATAGATAGATAGATAGATAGATAGATAGATAGATAGATAATGTGAAGAAGTTCAGAAGAGTTGGATGTTAAATTTTCCTCATGAAAAGAAATTTTTTATTAAAGAAAGGTCAGTTCCCTCTGTAAAGTCAGAGGTACGGAAGAGGATTAAGGCCACTGAAAAGAAAGAAAAAGAAAAGAAACAGAATTCTGAGAAGAAATGTCATGATTCTATTTCTTTTTTTTCTTCTTCTTGTCAGTGGCTCTAATCCTCTTCCGTACAGAGTAGAAATAAATAAATAACATGTAGAGCACAAAAAGTCTCAATATTAATTCCCCCCCACTGTAAACGGTCGGCGAGTTGTCCGCTCCCAACCCCATGGCCCCTTCTCACTCTTTGAAATGTTCAAAAGTTGGCAGCCCTGAGTTAATGTTTTACCTTTTTTTTTATCTGCATCATATTTAGTTTAAATAAAGAAACAGTTTGGCCCTTTACACTCTAAAACATAAAATGTAAAACAATTATTTTAGTCAGCAAATTTCTCCACCAACTTTCAATGTTTGTTTTTTATTTGTATTTTGTTTATGTTTATTTATTTAGCAGACTCTTTTATCCAAAGCGACTTACAATTTATAACCTATAGGGCATGTTGTGATCTGTTGGGGAAACCGGAGTACCCGGAGGAAACCCACGCATGCATGGGGAGAACACGCAACTCCACGCAGAAAGGCCGCAGCCGAGTTTCAAACCTGCAACCTTCGTGCTGCGAGGCAACAGTGCTAACCACTGCGCCACCATGCTATTTTCTGTAGCTATATGCAATTATTATTGTCTAACTTCTAGATTATGTTTATTTAGAAGAAGAAAATATCATTTCTATAGCACCTCTCAAGATAAAAATCACGAAGCGCTTCACAAAAACAAAAACAAAAAATATAAAAATTGTAAAAATAGAAAAAAAGCATTTTGAAAATGTTTAAAAATATATTTAAAATGAGCAAGAATAAGCAATTGCAATTTAAAAGAAAAAATGTTACGAAAGAGAGAGAGTGAATAGGAAATAGGGAAATCAGTGGATCCTGAGGACGGTGGAATAGGTGGGGAGAGCAGAATAAAGAGAGAGTGGTGAAGAAGGTCATACAAAAGCCAGCTTGAACAAGTGAGTCTTCAGCTGCTTTTTAAAGGAGACCACTGAGTCCACTGATCTCAGGCTCAGGGGGAGAGAGTTCCAGAGTCTGGGGGCCACAGCAGCAAATGATCTGTCATTTATTTGGCAGATGCTTTTATCCAAAGCGACGTACTATTGTTAACCTATAGAACATGTTGTGATCTGTGGAAGAAACCTTCGCATGCATGGGGAGAACATGCAACTCCACTCAGAAAGGCTGCAGCTGTGTTTCGAATCTGCAACCTTCTTGCTGTGAGGCAACAGTGCTAACAACTGCACCAGATGAAACACAGTTATCTATTTGTGCATTTCTAAATGGATTTTAGCCTGAACTTATGAGTATGGATGTTAATAATTGAACCCAGCCACACATGTAGACGGCTGTTTTCCAGGAGTTGGGAGTTTTGAGAGCAGCCATTCCCTTGAGGTTGTTGTGCGGAATGTTCCAGCTCATCACTACCGAGCCAAAGGACTGTAATGCGAGGAACTAAGCTCTGCTATCTTACTTACGGTCAAACATCAATCTTTACATTGACTCCCATGTTGAAAGGATCTACTTAGGACCGAGAACGTGTTTCTGCCTGGGGTCCTGGTATCAGGAGGGGATGTGGAACTGTGGCAGCAACCAGCACTGTGAACATGAGCTTGTGACTCTGTGACTGGTACAGTGGCTCTCTCAGACTCTCACTTGCCTATCCATTTCTTCCGTCATCCAACATCTCCTCCTCTAGCACCCTGCATATCTCTGTGCCAGTTCCTGCATCTGTAGCCCTGGCCGTCATTCACTGGAAGGACAATGGCAGCTTGTTGTCCCAACTGTGTGAATACCGCAAATTTTGCTCTGTGGCTCGTCCCTTGACCCATGTAGTTATACTGTTGGTGTTCAATATTCAGACCTCCTGGTCTTTGATAGAGTTGTTCTTTTTCTCTTACAGGTAAAACCGAAGATCATAGAGCCCCTGGAATATGAAAATGTGCTCCTTCAGAGGAAAACCCAGATCATCAGTGATGTTCTGCGTGATATGCTGCAGTTTCCCACAGATGACTTTCAGGTAAGGACAGTAAGTCAGCTTTTGGACAACATATAGGATGTGCATGTTCACTGGAAATCAATACTTCGCTAGGAGAAACATTTAAAGCCACAAGCTTTTAGGGGGCAGCAGAAACACTGAGTTATATTTGCTTGAATGCTTTTTCTTCCATTTTCACTTTTATTTCTCACATTGCTAATGAGGTGAAGTCCCACCTCCCAAGTGCCTGTTTCCCAGGCTGGTAATTAACACCTCCAGGTCTCGACATTCATCCCAGCAGGCGGTAATCCCGTGTGGAGGGTGTTTCCCGTGACCTCTTCTAATTGAACACCAGGATCCAAGGCCTGGCCACTAGCCAGAACTACAAACTCTCTCAGTGCTAAGGATGTGTTTGTTCTCTTTTTATTCTTTTCATTTTTAGAGATTTTTGCCTCAAATGTTGGGTTTGGACAGCTCAAACTGGTTACGTATGAGGTGTTTTAGGATCTCAGTGGCTGGGTGATGGTGATCCAAAGGTTCATTCTGGCCCTCACGCTACCCACGCTGCATATTGCGCATGTGCTAAAGCACACCTTTCTGTGCAGTCTGTTTTAAAGTCCCCCTTTGCTCTACCATAAGTGCATATTACTTAACCTGCTGATATTTAAACATTTGCAAATCTCTGTAAAGCTGGTGTTTTAAAACAGTGTCAACATTTGGCCATTGGAGATCATGGGTGGAAGTAAACAGATGATCCAGCGTTTGTGATTAGTGAGTTTTTAATACCATTTTCTGAGAATTACTAAGACATTAAAACTTTAATTACTGTCAAAACATCCCAAGACCTTATAAATCAACACATAACCTAATCACACTGTTGTACTGGTGGTCATTTAGTTGATGATAATGAAGATTGTTCATGAACCCCATTTTCCTCTCTGCTTTAGTAAATAAATATTCAAATATAGAATAACTTACAACAGTGCAGCATTTGTAATTTTTTCTAGTTTGACTTTACTGTAGAGCCACAACATCATCCTCATAGCTCACATATTGAGTATGGGGTTTGTTTGCCTCCAGAAAACCATTATCTGTTTAAGGCATGGTCCTGTGTGCATTAAACCAGCGATTACAGAACCTTTACATGCTTGGTGTTGGGGAAATAGTTCTCTGTGGGTCAGCCTTGTTTGTCCAGTACGCCATACAGGTCCTGGTTTGACTAAAGTACATTGTTAAGATTTTTCAGTTGTTGTATTCAGGTCCATCTCAAATTGTACAATGTTGTTGCAGGGTACTGCTCAAGAATCACGTTCTTACACTGCGCAACCCAACAGTTGGATGCGACCTGACTGCACTCATTGTATGTGTGGTAGCAACACATCAGACCTTTGATTCCATAAACCCAGAAGAGATTATAGAGCTGCTATTGAAGTCTATTTACTTTGAGGCTTGCCATAGTTGTCGGAGGAGGACATACAAGTGTAAATGGGGATTGGTGGTACAAGAAGAAGGAATGGCATGTACTGTAGGGTGTAAACCAGGGTTTGAGGATATTTGATATAAACACAGCAAACGTGTGTTCTTCACCTCCCTTGCCATTGTGTTTAGAGGAAAGTGTAAAAAGAAAAAGAGATGATGTGTGTGGACATGGGAATGGGTGGCCAGATGTGTTGGCTCATGTGCTGTGTGAGCAGTTCTGTTACGTTTGGGTTGTGCTGCTGTTTCAACCGTGTGATACCTTTTGGGAGGGACGCTAACGTCAGATGACAATGATGAAGATTGTAGAATGAACCAGCTACGTTCAAGGTCACACACACACCACACCAGTTCAGCCTTTTACACAGATTTATTCACTGAGCTCCCTGTGATCTGCATCCTGCAACCAGCTCTAACATCTCTTTGGTGTCTTCGGTATCTCAGGTCACAGTGTGAGCCATCCGTCCTCCTCTTCCTGCATTTTTAATACAGGTGAGCGCTGATTAGATATGCGCTCCTGCTGTGTAGCAACATGCTCCCACTGCTCTGCCTGCTCCGTCCTCCCCTGCAGACACGCACGTCCCTGTGCACTGTCCAACTTAGGTCAGTGCAATCACCAGCCTGACACCTCCCCACTAGAGGTGCACAGGAAATCAGCCACAGCCAGCCACGCTGCTGGCCTGTGGATCACCTGAAAGTTGAAGGGCCTAAGTGCAAAATTCCAACGTGTGTTCCAGGTGTTGGTATCCATCATTTGGTGGAGCCACTGCAGCCATTTCAGCCATGCACGGTCTAAACAGTGTTTGAAGGACTGTTTGAGGAGTTAGAACCAGAAGGCATTGACCGCCTACCTGATGGCCAGATACTCCGTTTCGATGGTGCTGTACTGTCTCTCCCTGTCGGACAGCTTCCTGCTGATGTACAGGCTCCCCGGACCTGCTGCAACAAAATCGGTCCACTCCCCTATCCGAGGCGTTCGTCTTCAGAGTAAAGGGGAGAGAGAAGTCAGGCATAAACAGTAGTGGGGTGGTACAAAGGGCCTACTTGACCCGATCAAAAGCCTGCTGAGAAACCGGAGTCCAGCAGACTGGGTCGGAGGCCCCCTTCTGGGTCAGGTTGGTCAGGGTTGCAAAATCCAGAATAAACCACCAGATCTCCTTTTTCGTCTGGGGGTGCTAGCAGTCTGCAATCGCTGTGGTCAGCAACTTTGTGATCTGCAGGACTCGATCTGGAAGCCGTTGAGTGTTGTACAAGGATTGTGCCCCACGTTGGGCCCCAGTGTAGCATGAACCTGCTCCGTTTAAAGCTTCTTTCCAGAGTATATCTCTTATCTGATGTCACCATCTAGTGGCTGACAAGCATATCACACAAAAAGTCTATTCCTCTGTTTAAGATCGCAACTTCACGTTTCTGTTTATAAATGTGCTTCTTAGACGACAAACGGAGCAAAAGCACACTGTTTTACTAGTATTATTCTCATGTCATGTTGTGTTTTCATATATTTATATTTTAGAGACTTGTCTGTGAAAAGCTCATCAACTCTGCATCAACTGAGGTATTCTTTAAATTTCAAGCAAATAAGCGGTAGTCTAACGCTATTGGTTAGTTCTGGTCGGCGCTCAGTTTCCTATTGAATGGAGCTCTGCGGGGCAGGGGGCGTGCTTAGCAAAAACAAAAAAAAAAAGAGACGTATTGCTTACATTTTATCACAGTACATGATGAGATAACCACTTTTACAGATTTCTGAAAAATCATACATCATTTCTGAAAGGGGAAAACTCCGGAAAGCAGCTTTAAGGTCACACACAACACACGATACCACTTTAGCCTTTTACACAGTTTTATTCACTGAGCTCCTTGTCTCAATGCCTCTTTTGTATTTTCAGTCTCGCAGGTCATCACATGTCATCCTTCTGCCTGCCATGGACGTAATTTTCACTTTAGAAGTGGGGGGGACACGGGGGGGATCTTTACAGTATGCTCTAATGGGAAACAGGCTTCAACACAAACAGTTGTTTTCCGCTTGGTCCTAGAGCTCAACCAGTGTCAATTTAATATAGCGTAATATTGTTTTTGGATGGTAAAATGTGCAGGGGTCAAAACTTGACTTTGGAAAAAGTGGGGGGGACATGTCCCCCCCCCCCCCCCCCCAAATTACGTCCATGCTGCCTGCTCCGTCCCTCCCAGCACCACCATAAATGTTGATCATGCATCACTAGAAATCATGCATCACACATCATTTTTGTATTTTGTTATCAGGGTAGTAAACACTTCTATCATGATAGGAGATATTTGTTGTATCCACAACCCTACACCACACTCTGTTGGCTTTCCACAGTCCATCACCTTTCATGTCTTTCCATGAAACAAAAACAAATAAAGGGTCATCAAATATTGTAGCAATCACTCAGGTACTGACCAGTTAGTTAAGTATTTGGATCTGTATGTGGTACGGCAGTTGTTTCTAGGCTTTTATTCTGAAAGCCCTCAATCAGCAATGAAAGCTGCGCACTTTCCTCTCAGCCATCAGAACTACACACTCATGCATGTTCATATGCATGTGGTTTGGGTTAAGCAAGACTTTTTTATTGGATTGTGCATCACTTCCCTGAGCTATGACCCTGTATCTAGCTCCATGGGCCCAGTTTGGGTGGTCTGAACCACTTCAGACTGAAAGTATTAAAATATTTGTAGCTGGAGTGACATTATGAAACTACCAATTAACACTCAGGCCAATGTCAAAGTTGCTTGTATCCTTATGGTGACCCATTCCTCTAGCCTGGCAAGCCAGACTAAATAAATGTATTATTTAGTCTGGCCACGCTCCATTGACGGCTCTCGGTTGTAGGGCGGGTTCTACCGTTGTCTTTCAAATGATCTCCACATTCCACTGGACAATGAATGTGACATACTCTTGTTTCACTCTGTTGCATCATCCCACCCACCAGGCATATAGAGTGCCCTGATTGGCCCACAAAGCAGATAAAGCTCTGTGATTTGTTCACTAAGCAGATAGAGCACTATGATTGGCCCACCATTATGGACCAATCACAGCTCTTTATGTGTTTGAAACCCCTCTAGAGAGCTGTGATTGGCTAGCCAGAGTCCTGGTAGGAGCTGCTGAGGTTCCAATGGAGCATGCCTAGACCATTCTTTGCAAAGCAAGAATTTGGTCTAGTTCACTAGGCTACCATTCCTCTGCTTCCAACTCATCAACCTAAAGGACAAAACCCCACCCAGTTTCAGGTAAATCTTCTTTGCTTTTTCGACGCACTCAAGCTCACTGCACTGACATAGAATGAGTGCTGGGAAATTCACCCTCTACTTCAGTACGATTTCACAACCACTGGATGATTGGTGGTTTTCATTATGAGGCTGTCTGCAGTATGTGATCATGTATAACTGGTCTGACACCGCCTCTGTATCCATCTAACCTGCCATATGTTTCATATCACCAGGCTGAGAGGGGAGTAGGGTGGAGACAGCCAGATATCTGGGTGTGGCAAGTACATGTTTCCCATAAAAGAGTACTTGTACTGATACACACTATGCCAGATGTACATCTGATGACTGGGAACAGCAGTTATACGCAAACCCCTACCCAGTGCACAACCATAAAGAGCCTTGTTGTAATTGTTCATGTTTAATTTGGTATGTTTCTTGTCCTAAATTGTTTGAAATAACATCCTAAAATTAATATTTCCAACAACTTCTTTCTGAGATTTGTTTAACTAGCAAGAAATCAGAACAAAAGCAAAGAGAAGAAAGATCATAACTGGACAACTGACAGGTCTTTGATTGCTAAAAATTACTGTTCTGGTCAAAGAGGGCAGAAGTTCAGGGACTTCATCAATGCATGGAAAAAACCAATAGGGTCATGGATGGTGCCAGTGCTTCCTTCACATCTTTGTTAGCCGTGTATCTAAAGGTCTTGATGTTAGCAATATGAGACAAAGCGCCTATTAACTCTGCAGAATACCAACCCAATAACTTTTGTGGCCTAAGGGCCATTCATCTCCTCTCTGTTCAGTTGGACTGTAATGGATTAATAAGAGTTGAAGGAGGAGGAAGTCAGACTGGAGAAAGGTTAGGTTGCAGCAGATTTCCTGAAGATCTGGTTAAAATAAATTATATGTGGAGTATTTATTAGCAATTTACAGTCAGGGTGATCTCAGTTTGGAGAAACTACTGTGCTAAGTTACATTTGTTTTAAGTCGTTTTAACTACCCTTTTTCTGTCTTTTTATTCTGTTTTCTAACAAAATCACAAGTGGTATTTCCTCAAACTGAAGAAGATATTTAGAATTGTACCGACATCCAGCCGTCTTTCCTGGGAGTTGGTGCATTCCTGACCTGGATCTCTGACCTTCCTTTGAGGAAGGTCCCAGGGAAAAGCTTTTATGGGGATCAATAAAGTTGTGTGTACTCCTGTGGACTAGTGAAAACAACACTAAAGAGAGTTGAGTCTGTTGTGTAAAACCCCGGCAGAGTGGACATGTTGTGTTTTTCAAGCCTGCTTTCTTCTTCCTCCCTCAGATCTCCACCCTGCGGCGCCAGGGCCGGACTCTGCACTCCACTGTGCCAGAGACCGCAGAGAAGGAAGCTCACTCTCTGTTTGTCCAAGAGGTAAAATACCAAAATATAGACACATCCAAGCCTTCTCTCTTGGCTCAGCTGTGGCCACATCACCATATCACACAGCAGCTTTAACCGGTTAGGATAAAATCACTCACATCACGATTGTGTGACATTTTTTACATTTTCAATGTATGTTGCAGCTCTAACGCATCTCTTAAGAGCTCGACAGATCCGCAGACACAAAACAACCCTCTGACTTGATTTAACTGAAGTGCACCTCTTAGCCTTGAAGTGAACTTCTGTTTGGGTTCTCCACCCTCTTGTTTCCTGACACGAGTTCATTACATCGTGCTCTTTCAGAGCCGTGTGCTGGACTTGGTTGAGTTGGGGTCTGATGTAGACTACGATAGATGATAGTCCCCCTGTAGCCAGGAGTTACATCATCACATCTGGAACAGCTGTGCTTTCTAACACAGATGGGACCTTTTCAAGTCAGTGGTGTTAACTTTGATCTGACCAAACTGATAAACACAGGATGAATCTTAATCTCCTCCGGCCTCAGGTAGCAGGGTTAAAGTTCATGATTGGATGAGAAGAAAAAGACAAAACAAGTTTAGCTTGAGAAAGAAAACCTCTGATCTCTAAACGAAAACAGGGATATGTAAAAGTCTGAGGAATCGGACCGAACACACGGAACGGAGAAAATCATAAAAGTTGATTAATTGCGGGAAGAACAAGATAATTTGCTTGGCCTCAATGACTTGAATGGATTTAACAAAGTAGACTTGACTTGGCTTCAATTGACTGGAGTGGACTTGGTTTGGCTGCATGAAGCTTGGGCTTGAGGATGGCATCAGAGCTGTGGCTGTAGAGAGCTTAAATCATGAAGAGCTCAGGAGTTGCAGTGAAGTACGAAAGTTTTGACAGCATTGATAATCTTCATGATTTTCTTCAGAAATCGTTGGTTGTAACATACATATTTTTCAGTTAAATGTATTATCTAGGAGACACACACAGTGATATTTGAGAAATGAAACAAAGTTTATAGGATTTACAGGAAGTGCAATAATTTTTTAAACAAAATCAGGCAGGTGCATAAATTTAGGTACTGTTGTCATTTTATTGATTCCAAAATCTTTAGAACTAATTATTGGAACTCACAATTGGTTTGGTAATCTCAGTGACCCTTGACCTCTATACACAGGTGAATCCAGTTATGAGAAAGAGTATTTAAGGAGGCTAATTGTACGTTTCCCTCCTCTTTGAACATTCTCTGAGGAGCAGCAACATGGGGGTCTCAGAACAACTCACAAGAGCTGAAAACAAAGATTGTTCACCATCGTGGTTTAGGGGAAGGGTACAGAAAGCTGTCTCAGAGATCTCAGCTGTCTGTCTCCACAGTTAGGAACATATTGAGGAGACAGAAGACCACAGGAACATTTCAATTTAAGGTTCCAAGTGGCAGAACAAGAAAAATCTCAGATAAACAGAAGTAAAGAATGGTGAGAACAGTCAGAGTCAACCCACAGACAGCACCAAAGACCTACAACATCATCTTGCTGCAGATGGAGTCACTGTGCATCGTTCAACTATTCAGCCCACTTTACACAAGGAAATGCTGCATGTGAGAGTGATGCAGAGGAAGACTTTTCTCCTCCCGAAGCACAAACAGAGCTGCTTGAGGTCTACTAAAGCACATTTGGCCAAGCCAGCTTCATTCTGGAATAAGGTGCTGTGGACTGATGAAACTAAAACTGAGTTATTTGGGCATAACAAGGAGCGTTATGCGAGGAAAAAGAACACAGTATTCCAAGAAAAACACCTGCTACCTACAGTAAAACATGGTGGTGGTTCCATCATGCTGTGGGGTGTGTGGCCACTGCAGGGACTGGGAATCTTGTTAAAGTTGAGGGACACAATATCAGCAGATTCTGCCCAGATTTATGCACCTGCTTAATTTTGTTTAAACAATTATTGCACATTTTCTGTAAATCCTATAAACTTTGTTTCACTTCGTAAATATCACTGTGCGTGTGTGTGATATGTGAAAATGTTTACAGTAGCAACCAATTATTTATACAGGAAAATCATGAAGATTAACAAGACTTCCCAAACTTTCACATCCCACTGCAAGCAGGTACAGGTGAGCACGCTTGGTTGATTCAGTGCAGAGAGGCATAAAAACAGTCCAGGAACTAAAATCATGATAGGATGGTTGATAAAGGTTTAGTTGAATGAACCACAAGACCTCTGGGGCAAATCTGACCAAGGTAGAGATGTTTAGCCATAACGTGGATGTCTGGATGAAACCAACCAGCTGATCCCAGCTGTCAGCACGATGGTGGAAAGCTGATGATTTGGGTCCATCTGGAACTTCTCTATAGATCAAAGTATTCTAGAGTCTAACATGAATCCATAAGCCTAATTGGTCAAATTTGGGAGAAACACCTGTGTTAGTCAATTTTTTTTCCCCACTTTCACTCCATTAGCAGCTGCTAGCTGTTGGTGGGGTTTAGTATCCTTTTCAAGTAAAGAACCTAATTTACTCTTCTCTTCCCATTTCCACTATCTGCTTCTTCAGTGCATCCAGACCTACAAGTCAGACTGGCATGTTGTCAGCTACAAGTATGAGGAGTATTCCGGAGACTTCCGCCAGCTCCCAAAGTGAGTGTGTCTTCCACTGACATGTCATGATGAAACGTTCTGCTAAACTGTTTTTTTTTAAGTCCTTGTGAATTCTAAGCTAACGTTAGCATTTAGCGCTCCAGCAATAACAGATATACAAATTACCATCAAGTTAGCAACTTCATTATCAAGTCCTTCTTTGCCGCAAAACAAAATTAAATCCCTCCAAAACCCTTTCTATTAAATGTGTGTATGATGGGGTTTGCTGCCCTTCTGAACTTGTGTGAAGCCTTGTGCGGATCTGATAGCTGTTTGTTTACAGCCCCATGCCTGATAGTCAGAAACATGGAGATCTGCCACAGAGCCTCTTAGCTCCTCTTGAAAAACAATAGAACACTTCCTGTGTTTTCCTTCAGATTTTCTTCTCCATTCTTAAACTACTCTTGACTGATATTAACCAAACAAAAGGGAAATCCCACAATGTATTTGTGTCCTTGTGGACAGGAAGGAGCTACAGATGTAGGTGATGTTTAAAACATTTTAGAGTAAACGCTGGACCAGCCTCGCCCTTGTCCTTGATGCTGTTTATTCTAGCAGGTCCCCAGAGGACGATAGTTCTTGTAGAGTTCAAAGGTCAAACTATGCGGCATGTAGAAAAAACTGTTTCACTTTGGCAGCTTCGGTCATGTAGATGGAAATGTTATTGGATCTGATTGGCTGCTCAAGAGGAATTAAACACATCTTTGAACAGACTCAGTTTTGAGTCTGACTGAACTGACCAGATCACTTAATCCTAAAACAATCAAAACACCAGAGGCACAAAGCGGTAACTCGTTTGATTAGTGGAACATCTCAGAAACATCTGTGTCTGGTGTGGCTGTGAGGTGGATCATGTCTGATCTTTGCCCTGTTCCTTCAGTAAGGTGTTGAGACCTGAGAAACTCGCTCCTCACGTGTTTGAAGTTGATGAAGATGCAGACAAAGATGAGGTAAAATCACTGTTAACGCAGAACATTTAGTTCATGACTGTTAAGAAGTTTGCCATCTACAAACATGAGTTAATGACAGCAAAAAAGCCTTTTTTTGATGAAACATCTCTTATTTTCATCCTCTTTTTTTTTAACCTTGCGCTGCAAGATGAATTCTCACGAGATTTGGAGCTCTCCTTTTTGAGCTCACCTCAAGATCTTTCATGTTTAAGGGCCACACTGTGGTAGCTAGCTTTGGTCAAACCAAAATGGTGTTTTTATTTAAAACACGCAGCATTGTCTGTTCCCTCCACTTATTCAGGATACAGCTTCTCTCGGGTCTCAGAAGGGAGGAGTGTCCAAACACGGCTGGCTGTACAAAGGCAACATGAACAGTGCTATCAGTGTCACCATGAGGGTGAGTGTGTGCTTCTGATAGCAAATGCCTGTTTGATTTATTCACCTATATATTTCAGAGCTTTTGTTGCCAAAGCCCAAAGAAACTGTAGTGTCCAGTGATTTATACCTTATGATGTATATATTTCTAGTTGAGGAAACGTGATCCAGAGTTCACATTATGAGGAGGCAGGTGGCAGATTTAATGTGATTAAAACTTGATATGACACTAGAATAAACAACCACAAACATGTGTAGTTTTTTTTTTAAATAAATGAAATGGATTTTTTTAATAACTATCTAAATTATATTTTCTACTGTTCAGTCACAAAGACAAGCTGGACAGACAGTGTGTCACATTATGCCTCTTCTCCCCAGTTTCTGTTCATATTAATTGCTCCCACCTGCCTCTCGTTACCCCAATCACTTAGGTCCCCAGCTCCACATGTATTTAAACCCTGTCAGTCCTGTGTTTATTGTCAGTATATTGCCTGTGTTTTAGTCTGTTTCAGTCAGTCCGTGTCTTCAGTTTTACTTATTAAAAAACTTAAAATCTTCCTCACCTGCTAGTGGATCCTTAGCTCAGCTAGCAGACGTGACACAGCTCTGCTATAAAAGCATGAAAGAGCTGCTACAGGAGTCCAGACTAGGGCCTAGTCCACACGTAGCTGTTTTTTTAACGAATATCCGCCCCTCCAAAAACTTGCATCCACACCACCTCGTTTAAAAAAACTCTGTCCACACGTACCCGGATAAATACGTTGTTAAGGACATGCCAGGCCTGTAGGCGGCAGTACTTCCCCCGTTCTTAACCTCGTTCTTCGTCTGTGGTCTTCCACAAGGAGCAGTAATTGCGCTTGCAAAAACAAACAAGCAAAAAACGTTTGGACAATTGATAAAGCGAGCGTAGCTCTAAGGGCATCCATGCTGTCAGCTAGTGTAAACACAGGTCGCACACGTGATGTCAGCATTTTTTTGTCGCGGAAAGTGACGTTGCGGACCTTAAAACTCCGGTTTTGTCTGTCCACACGCAGACACCCAAAATGGAGAAAACGCAGATCTTCACTTTGGCCAGAGTTTTTAAAAAGATCCGTTTTCATGTGAAAAAACTCAGTTTTCGTGTGGATGACAGGCCAAAACGTGGAAAAATATCTACGTTTTGGCAGATCCCCGGTTACGTGTGGACAGGGTCTAGGAGTCAGTGGATTGAATCAGAAAAAATCTCGGGAAATTGCATCATAGTGGGATACAAAAGTGAAAATGAAGGAGGCTTATCTTACTTTTAGGGCTGCAACAACGAATCGATAAATTCGATGAAAATCGATTACTAAAAGCGTTGGCAACGAATTGCGTCATCGATTCGTTGTGTCGCACAACTCTTCCAAAAGCGCCCCCCCCCCCCCCTTCCCGCCCGCCGTTGCGCACAGACCAGAGCAAGTCAGATCAGCGCGAGGGAGAGCCGCAGATCAGCGCGAGGGAGAGCCGCAGATCAGCGAGAGGGAGAGCCGCAGATCAGCGCGAGAGAGAGCCGGTACCGGCAGATCAGCGCGAGGGAGAGCCGGTACCGGCAGATCAGCGCGAGGGAGAGCCGCAGATCAGCGCGAGAGAGAGAGCCGGTACCGGCAGATCAGCGCGAGGGAGAGCCTGCAGACTTGCGCTGCTGCGAACCGGTTCCGCATTGTTGCACAGCGATCCAGGCAGCTGCTTCCAGCGCACGGTCCATTCTCAAAGTGGCGCAACCAAAAAACTATAATTAGCACACGATCGTTCTTGTCTGCACATCTTCTCTATTTTCTGTCTTATTTGTGCCTGAAGCGCGCTACTGCGGAGCTCATCACCTGTGCTGTGGTGATGTCACCTCACGCAGCATCGAAAACGCGCTCTCCGCTTTGCGGTCAGGAGATCTCTTTGATCTGCTCAAAAGTAACTGATGAGGTGAAAAAGTAAGAATCCAGGCAACAGATTTTCTGGAGAATTATGAGGAGATGCAGGAAGATGAGAGACAGACAGGACAGGAAAATAGTTAAATAAAAACAAGAAAACAAAGTAAAATGTAGGTAGATTTATCTCCACTACACGTGTTTACCTGTATAAAACAATAAGTTATACACATGTCATAGTTATACATCTGATACAATTCAGATCACCTTCAAAACTCAGTCACACACCCAGGGCCGTTTCAAGACATTTTGGGGGCCAAGGCAAAATGCCCCCCCCTCCATAACTGGGCTCCCCAGAAGCCTCTGTGTAATCCATACCCTCTCCAGGAGTGTTAGTAAAATCCCCTCAGACATTACTGACATGTTCTAATATTATCAGATGAAAAACTAAATTATCAGACATGCTGTCTCATCTGCTTCTTTTCTAAACTTGCAAAAAGTAACAAAACCATTTGAAAGCCACTATTTGTGGATTCTCTGAAAGTTTCCATGGAGTGTGTGACAATTTATTTTTTCATTGATCCTATTGTCTAATCTCACAGCTGAAACAAGCATCCTTAATAATCTGTGCACAGGAAGCGTACCGATGCTGTAGTAAAACAAAATTTATAATAATTTATTATTAATAAAACCTTGTTGCAGCACTAAAGCATAAAAATGAGATTTTGCATTAATTATGCAAAATATTTACATATGAATTGTTTTAGAGCCCTTTAATTGGCATAATCTGATATTAATTTAGTTCTTACAAAAAATGGGTCCCAACATGGTTTGTGTGGCGTTGCCATAGTGTGACGTCATAGGCACAGATCCCCTGTCCTCTTGTTTGGAAATGGAAATATGGTCACCCTACATTAAACAAACTGTCCACCCGGGCTTTTGCGCTGCACAGAGACGCTTCGCTGCCTACGACTGAACGTCAGTTGAGAGTCAGTCTCATGCAGACTGACCAATGAAGAGAGGGCCTCAAGTTAAGACCCTCTCCTGATTGGTCAGTCCACACGAGGTGGGTCAAAGGTTACTCTGGGCGGGTTACATGTTGTCAGGCATTCAAGTATTGAGTATATTTACTGCATGTTACAGTAAAATATTCTGTATGTGACCACATTATGGTGATCCTTGGGTCGTGATGATGGAGCCCTTGAATATTGTTGCCCAGGGTACAACAAAGTGTTAATCTGGCCCTGGTTCCGCCGTCACATTCCCGCAGAAACTGGTTGATCACACCGGGGCCAGACTACTAGCATGTGGTTTTACAACCACAATGTCCTCGGAAGCAAAAACGCTTTTAAAAGGGAGGGAGGAGTCCTAACTGTTGCTGCAGGCGTGTTGTGTGAGAGTGCAGTTATATACTGGTTAATATATTTTTGGGTTCAGTTGCTTTCATGTGGCCTAATGTGAGTCTATTTGGGATCATTGGAATGATCAGCAGCATTTCTTGATGTGACTTTATGGCAGTTGCCCAGGGCATCATCGCAAGGAGGATGGCATTCATTTACTTTTGTTTTATTTGGTATTTTTTCAGTCATTTTTGGAAATGGTGATCAATTTTGATTAATTCACAGCCTATGTTTAATTACATTTAAAATAAATGTCAACAGATGAGATCAAACAAAACAGATGAGAATTGCCCTTAAGCTGTTTAACTTGGACCAAGCATTTTAGGTCACAGATAGATGTAGCTTAGGGTCTCTGTCTATACACCTTATAAGACAATTTAGGTGATGGCATGTTGTTTTTCTGCTATTGAACTGTTTTCTAATAATGTTGTGTTAAATAAAGTGAAGGAAGGAGAGAAATAACGTTTCCCTAGCAGTTTTTAAAAATTTCCCCATGTAATCCGATTAATCGATTAATCGTGTCGAGACCCCGTCCGATTAATCGATTATCCAAATAATCGTTTGTTGCAGCCCTACTTACTTTCCTTAGCCTCTGATGTACTTCTCCCTCTTTACTTGTGCACAAGAGCTTTATTTTTACAAAAAGGTGGCTTTTCCACTAGCGGCCAGTGTTAGAAATGTTACTTTAACTCATTCACTGCCAACCGTTTCCTGATCGCTAAAGGCCTTCGCTGCCAGCGTTTCTCAGTTTTTACTGTTTTTTAAAGAGTCACAGAACATTGTGCGCTAGGATGATGTCAACGCCAAAACAACCAAAACAAAGAGGAGACTCACCTCTTACATCAGGAAGAATCTGCGCATTTCGAGCATTATCCGTTCTTTCATAATCCATTGTCGAATTGTGATCGGCAGAAGCTTTTCCGGTTCGCGCCTCTTTTTTTTTTTTTTTTTTTTTTACAGGAACGGCCCAAAACGATCTAACACATGGATTTTCTGCTTCCTGATCATGTGACGTGTGATTATGCGGATGAAGATCGGCTTCAGAGCTGAGATGTTTGTTCTCAGGGTGCGGGGGGTTGTTCCGACGCCAAAAAGTAAAAAAATGCAAATGATGCATTGGCAGTGAATGAGTTAAAAAAGTTATTCGTTATATTTACGAATTACTTTTTCAAAAAAATAGCTGAGTTAGTTACTGAGCGTGACGATTATAAAAGTAACTAATTAGGAAAAATAACTATTTGTTACTTTTTAAAATAAAAAATATGCAAGAAAATGGGATTTTTTTAACTATAAATTATTTACTACAATACTAAAATATAAATGGCTGAATATTCTTGAACATAGTAAAAAAATATGTCCAAGTGTTTATTATAAAACTGGATAATTTAAACAAATGGGCTCCTAATAGGAGGAACCACAAACAGGTAACATTACACTAACTGTTCCTGTCACTGTGTGGTGTGAAACAAAACACCAATCAAGTAAAAATGATGACTGTGTTCAAGGAATAGCTGACTACGGTTGGGTTTTCTATGTGTCTTTTCTCATGAGAGTGTTTCTACTGCCAGTTTCAGAGCCTCACAGTAACCTATCAGTAAACACGGAGCTGTGGCCACTCTTGTAGGCCAGTTTTCTACATGGCTCTTGAATGCTATTTGATCAAACTGAACCCCAACAGATCCTTGTTAATCACAAAAGATTTAGAAGTATAATCAGTGTTGCTTATTTGTTGTCAAATATCGTTCAAACAAAAAATATTAGTTAGCAGTATTTTAGGTTTAAAAACTAAAAGTTATCGACCATAATATTATGAACACTTCTGCAGTAGGGTTGTTATGTTCTGATTCTTTGCTCCTATGGAAATCAGATGAGTCTTAGCCCTGGATATCCTGTAATGTTTGGATTTTATGAGCTTTCCCATGCCCTACTTCTGCTTTATTTTTAGAGTAGGACAGATAGAGGATGTTAGGGTTGTTAAGTCTCTATTTATATGCTCTAGTCTTTCAAGAGGAGGTACTTCCATCTTGCTCAGCTGGGTGATGGATCCTACAACCTCAACTTCTACAAAGATGAAAACACCTCCAAGGAGCCTAAAGGAACCATCTTCCTGGACTCGTGCATGGGGGTTGTTCAGGTAGAGCCTTCAGAATTGATTCAGAACTCAAGTTTCATAAAAGTTTTGTATTGTGTGAGATCGAGATTGGTGTTTGTTGTCTTTCAGAACAGCAAAGTGCGTCGATTTGCCTTTGAGCTGAAGATGCAGGATAAGAGTACGTTCCTGTTGGCTGCCGACAGCGAAGCGGAGATGGAGGAGTGGATGAACACTCTCAACAAGATCCTCCACAGCAGCTTTGAGCAGGCCATGCAGGAGAAGAGGAACGGAGACCTCAATGATGGTCAGCTTGTGTGTTTAATACCTTTTGCACCTGTGAATGTACTCGCTTCCATCTAGAGCTTATAACAAAATCGTCCATGTTTTTCCAAACCCTTCTTAACCTGCATTTTCTTCTTTTAGGTTTTATTTTAAGCTTCACTTTCCACAGACAGACACCAATGCTTCATTCTGAGTTTCCTCTTACCACCACAGTTAACCGAGCTGTTGATCTCTCTAACAGATGAGGAGCAGGGAAAAACAAACCTATCCTCTGGAAGCTTTCAGGACACATTTCAGGTAGCCCGTTCATCATCCTCTTTCCATCCCTAATGCATCTCAGTTTCTGCTGCTCCATAAACCAAAGTGTTGCTTTGGCCGTCTGATGAGCAGGAAGCCTGTTGGAACTGGTCTGGCCGTGAACCCGGGCTTCGATTAGAGCCAATAAATGCTAAATGTCTGGATTTCCTGTGGCCACATTTTCCGTTTTGTGCACATCTGGCTCAAGTGTTTGGTGTCCAAATGTAACACTTGTGCTGATCAGCAGTGTAACGTGGCATCTATGAAGCACACACACAGTACTGATTTGCTCAACTCCAAACAGGTCCATTACAGTTTAGCACCTATTATCATATAGTTTTGATACACAGTTTATATCATTAGTTTAGTTTCAGTTTTCAAGCTCAATTTGAGCCTTGGCAGGAAGTAGTTTTGTTCATTTACCAAACTAATGAACACCAGGGAGTAGATGGGTATGGAAATTGGAATTTCCTTTTCAGAATGTTATTTTTGGGAATTAAGTTCTGTTTACTCCATTTGTTGTTTGGCCTTCTTCACATGTAATCATCGTCCCTTTGAGCCAGTATGTTCGTAATTGTAGCAAGATTACAGGTGAAACACAAAAACTAGAATACCATGTAAAAGTTTGTTTACATCACTGATTCAACTTAAATGTGAAACTAATACATGAGATTGACTTATTCCATGTAAATCCAGTTATTTCAGATTTTATTTGTTATAACTGTGATGATCGTGGCTTACAGCTGGTGAAAACCCCACATTCAAAATATCAGACAATTAGATCAATGTGAAAAGGTTCAGTATTCTAGACTCAAAGTGTCACACTCTAGACAGCTAATGAATCCAGATCACCTGTAAAGACTTCCTGAGCCTTTAGATGGTCTCTCAGTCTAAGATGAATTAATAAACTTTGGCTTGATATTCAAATTAATTGAGTTTCACCTGTAAACAGATGGAAGAAGGTGGTCCTAGTATGTTTTATATGAGAGTTAAAGAGGAACTGCACACCATCAGAAAATGTAACTCCACCCCTAGTCAAGATTTGAAAAATGCTATGAAAGTGGGCGTGGCATGGCCAAGTGTGGGGAATTTCCGTCCCGGGGGGGGGGGGGGGGGGGGGGGGAGGGGGGGGGCAAGTACTGATGAAGTGAAATTGCACCAGCCCCAGTCAATCACAAGTTTAAAATGCAGTAGCCACTGTTCTGCCACAGGGGGCAGCACTAAGGCATTTTTAGACCTAGAGTCTTGATTTAATCAGGTTTACACAAACTTGTAAAAAATGCACAAAAGCAGAAAGATTGTATTTGTAAAGACCCAATTCTACGGTTTAAAAGCAAAAAGAAAGTTATTTTGGGGTTTAGTTACCCTTTAAATGATAGATCCTGGTCCAGGTTAAGGTCTAGTTCACACAGCAAGATGTTAAAAGGTTTTCTAAACATGAGCGATCCTACATGTGATCAGAGATAGCAGTTTAGGTCCTACTGTGTCTGGTAAAAAAACACGACACACCATACACAAACCTATTTCACTCACAGACAACCAATATGGTGGACAAAGAGGTCTATTCTGATTGTCCTTGATCTGTGCAGCATGCTCCATCACATTGGTGTGTGATGGGCTACATGTCAATTTCAACATGCTACAAGTTTTGTTTGTCCTCAGTTTTGGTACAAGACAAGTCAACACGATGAACAAAACCGGAGACACCCTTAAGAGAGGATCTGGTCAAAAGTCAGTATGTTGGGTGAACGGGGCTAACACCAAGGTTGGTGGCCTAACGGTAATGCCATCTAGAGGAAGTGAATTACCATATAGTTTGTTCCTGAGGAGATTGTGGCCTGCACATGTTTTGACAAATCCTGATAAGGCACTCGTGTCAAGGTTGAAGCCAACACAATGCTACAATGCTCATGGTTTGATGCTTCCGGATCCAGAAACCCAATGCTGACTGCAGGACTTGTTTTTATTTTTGTAATTTGTTCATCTTCACTTGGTTTCTGACAGACTGCCAGAGACAATGAATCTAAAATGAGGAGTGAAACTCGGCTCAAGCTGTTTACTCTGGATCCGGACACACAGGTGATGCAGGCGGTTGTTAAACCTACACTCTCAGCATTCTGTGGGTATGTTGCTTGTTTCATGGTAGAACAATGCTGACATGACTTATTTCCTGTTTTCACAGAAGCTGGACTTTACCGGTATTGAACCAGACGTGCGGCCGTTTGAAGAGAAGTTTGGAAAGAGGGTTCTGGTCAGCTGCCACAACTTATCGTTCAACCTGCAAGGTTGTGTCGCAGAAAACGAAGAGGGCCCAATGACCAATGTATGTTTCATAGACGTTAGAAGCACCAAAACAAGAGTCGATGCTTTATCCTTGAAAGCACATTGAGGTTTAAATCACTTTAGAAGATCATAGATTATTTTGATGGCTCACTTGGCTTGCCTGACCTAAAACAAAAAATTGGTATCAGTGGCTCAAAGAACAGTTGTTACCATGACTCCGGGCCATGGCTTCATACCACACACGCTAGCTCTGATTTCCTGCAATCACTTTTAACTTTAGGCTACACGTCAAACACTTGATACTCAGCCATTATCCTTCGAGCTGCACACACTCACCCAAACATGGACAAATGGTTTTGTGTAATGGGCAAGCATATAGTGGAAACAGGAAGTTGAACAGCCAAGTGCATTAGGGAGAATGTATACATGTTTATCTCTGTGGTTCTGTGCTTCCCCATCTAAAAACCCTCTTCACTCTGTATGATGACTTCAGTATGACTTAAAAAAAAGTCAGCCAGAATGTAAATGGTCTTTGCACAGCCTTGGGAATGTCTTTGGGCCTCTAATAAGAACACAGTAGGCTCTCCAAATGCATGTCAGCACTTTTGTGATAGTTTTGGGCAAGCACAGGGCTTTTGTTACACAGCTGTAGTGATTGATCACGTCAGTGTCAGTGCATTACTGTCCTGGGTAAAGAATAGGGGAAATTGGGGACAGCAAAAGCCACATATCAGTGACTTTCATTCTTAAGGGGGTCTTTAAAATGTCTACAAAAATCAGAATAACTATAAAGTAACTGCCAGTGACTTAAAGGCTAAGTTCAATGCGACACCGTTTTTTTACTTGGTCTTTTTTAAATGGTCACTTTGACTTCATCACACAGGCTGAATGTGACTAATAGCCTTCCATACCTATTTCCTGCATTTGCTGCCGATAGAAAACAGATGGGTAAACACTCGAATTAGAAAAGCCAGTGCCTCCAACACATCATAATGTCAAATTAACATTCATGGACTCGCCTGTCTTGACTCACGACAGGTAAGGCTGAATCAAGGGAACTTGGTCTTTAAAATATTAGTGAGGCTAATGAGGTTAGTGAGGCTCTGTTAAATGACTTCGAAACATTTGCGAACCACAGTCAGTCTTAGTCTGTTTTGTTATGTTGGTGAAAACCCTTTCAGATATGGGAATCACTGTATTAGTGCATGACTTGATTGTGATTTGATCAGAGAGAATGGAGGGCCTCTGTGCCTGGAGCAGCCATTAGCCAATGTACATGCATATGTACAAAACCCATAACAGGGTCCTAAATGCCCTCAAACGAGAGGTTTTCCTATTCTGTCTGAATCTAGACACATTCTTTTTGGTCTCGTCGATAGTGGAGAGCATGCTTGCTTCTCTCCCTCATAGCCTGAGATCAGTGGACTCAGTGGTTTCCTTTAAAAAAGGGCTGGCTTTGGTGTTTCCTGCTCTTCCTCTTCTTCCTCACTGGCTTTTTGTCTTTTTCTGTGCTTACCTTTTCTTTTCTTCAATCACATTTTAATGTAAAATGTTCCTTGTTTCTCTCATTATTTATTATGATCTTTTTAAAGAATTTTTTTCTTTTTCTGTAATTATTTTTATTGTTATTGTGAATTGCCTGTTTTTATCATGAGAGGCACTACAAAACAGTCATTTCCTCTTCTTTTGCATTGCCTTCAAGTGTGTGAGGGCCTATCATGACAAAACTTTCTCATTTTCTTTGTTCATCACAGGTAGAACCTTTCTACTTAGTCCTGTCCCTCTTCGATGTCCAGAACACAAGGAAGATCTCGGCTGACTTTCACGTGGATCTCAACCACCCAATGGTCCGACAGATGACATCTGGTTATGGTACTACATCCAATATCCAAATCATTGGTGATGGCTCCCTGGAGCACCCAGAGCAGGCTCACCTCTATCCCACACAAGGGGTTTTTTCAGTCACTTGCCCCCACCCAGAGGTCTTTTTGGTGGCCAGAATTGAGAAGGTCCTACAAGGAGGGATTACCCACTGCACCGAACCCTACATGAAGAGCTCAGACTCTACTAAGGTATAGAAATCAAACCATCATTACCATCTGGTTATGTTGGACTATAAATGAATCAGATGAGTTCTGTTCAGGTCACTCAAAAAGTGTTGAAAAATGCCAGGACAGCGTGCAGCAGACTGGGGCAGTTCAGGATGCCGTTTGCCTGGGCTGCAAGGTACGAAGTCGGCTGATGGCAAATTTTATTATGTGCACCTACAAACCAGAGCTAGCCTTCTGCTGAGGTTCCTAATGACATTTGACCCCCTTGTCTCTAGCTTTGGGTTGATCAAGCCCTTTCCTTTTATTTTTTGCTCCCCAGCCAAGAACAAGGGGGTCTCAGGTTCTTTTGGGCTCAAACTTTAATCTCCACTTGTCTCTGCAGGCCAGTGTTCAAAGACGCATCAGGAACTCTGGATAAAAACGCTCGTTTTTCAGCTCTGTACAGACAGGACAGCAGCAAACTGTCAGACGAGGACATGTTCAAACTTCTCACCGACTTCAGAAAGTAAGTTATTTTCTCACCATTCTCTTTCTTATTTCACCGTTGATACATCTGTATTTGATTCCTTTCTCTTTTGTTTTCCCAACAGGCCAGAGAAAATGGCCAAACTACCCGTTCTTTTAGGGAACATAGATGTAACTATCGATAACATGGCTCCAGATGGAACCAGTAAGCCTCTCAGAAATTTACAAAAGTACTTCTAACCATAGTTCCTTAAATGACGAGACTTTGGTCTTGACTGTTTTCTCTTTGCTGCTTATAGACTGCATCACTTCCTCTTACATCCCAGTCAGGAACTTTGAACAAAACAAGCAAGGCGCCACTCTCCTAGAGGTGGAGGAGTTTGTTCCCTGCATTGCTAAGTGCGCCCAACCTTTCACCGTCTACAAAAACCACCTCTACGTCTACCCAAAACATCTCAAGTATGACGGACAAAAGTCTTTTGCAAAGGTATCCAAAACCAAGATGCACAATAGTCTACAATACAATGTGCAACATAAAATATTCCTCCAAATCACGTCATCTTTGTTGGAAGGCAGCGCTTTTGTTTGTCAAGAACTCTCGTGTCATCATTTTGTGTCCCAGATTGTTAGCTGCTGCAGGGCTGCAGAGAATTATCCCTGAGTTAGACAGCAGCTTTTCTTTAATGCGTTAATACAGACTGTTTTATCGTTATTTTTTAAATAGGTCAGCTCCATGTGGAAAACCAGCCTGCCCTATTTTCATTTCCAGCTATCTGGTCTTTTTTTATTTTACCCTCCCACTGTCCTATTGGGTGACCGCACCAGTAAAGTTGACCATTGAGCAGGCTTGATGGTTTATCCCTTGAGGTCCAAATGGCGGGGGTGAGGTGGTGCTCACTCTTGCCATGTGGACCTCAAGGGATAAATCGTCAACCCTGCTCAATGGTCAACTTTCCTGGCGAGGTCACCCAATAGGACAGTGGGAGGGTTAAAATAATCAAATCATCTTAAATCAGAAATGTCCCAATCCATTTTACTTCATTACATCGAGGTTCTGATCAGATCAGTATTCATCCTAACCAGCGTAACAATCAGCTCTTAATCTCTATCGTTGGCGCACTCTCTTGTTCTATACTGGGTTCAGCCGTTCTCAGCTCAGGTGAGCAACCTTGACTTTCTTAAAGTTCTGGATGCACCTATTGAGCAGTGAGTGGAAGTTGGGAACCGTAACTTTGGATCTACAGATGGGACGGCGGTCCCCCTCATCTACAAAGGGAACCAGAGGTTTCACGATTCTCTCTCCCCACACAGGGTGAAGCATCTCTAAGTGCTTTAGATTCATTTTACTTTTGTTCCTTTTTTATTCAGGCGAGGAATATTGCTGTTTGCATTGAATTTAAGGATTCTGATGAGGACGAAGCTCAGCCACTGAAGGTACATCTGTATTTACGGTGAGGTGTGAAAGTTTGGGCTGCCTTGCTAATCTTCATGATTTTCCTGTATAAATTGTTGGTCGTTACGATAAAAAATTTCAGTTAAATATATCATATAGGAGACACACACAGTGATATTTAAGAAGTTAAATGAAGTTTATAGGATTTACAGAAGATTAACAAGGCTGTCCAAATTTTCGCATCCTACTGTAACAATATAACACTAACAAAGGAATAAAATTGGCCCTTGCCAACTCTAGATGCTCTATCAGATGGGCTAAAAACTAGTCGTTTTTACACAATGACCTATTAAAGATGTGGATTACCTTAAAACCTGAAACCAACCCATGTCCAGCTAGTGCTGCTGTTGACTTTGAAGCACAATGGGAAATCTTTGTTTACTTCTTCACCCAGGCAATCATAGTCGCATCAGCAGATAAAAAACCAATTTGTAAAACCATGAACCACATGTTTATGGCTGTGAGTAAAAGTGCATATTCTTTTTTCATCTCTTCCTTATTTATCATTCCGTTTTTCATTTGCAGTGCATCTATGGTCGCCCAGGAGGACCTCTGTTCACTAAGCATGCATATGCAGCCGTCCTTCACCACCAGCAGAACCCTGAGTTCTATAATGAGGTATGTTCTGTTGGTCACAGTTGAACCAATGTTGGGAAACTTTAACATACTTTTCCAAATGTGCACATAATTAAACTCTGCATTTAGTTTTGATTTTAATTAATGTATTTTACTTTTTCCTGCACATTTTACATTTATTAATAATTCAACTACAGTAATTATATTTTTTTTTTACCTTCAGATCAAAATAGAGCTGCCCACTCAGCTACATGAGAAACATCACCTTCTCTTCAGCTTCTATCACGTCAGCTGTGACAACAACAGTAAAAAGAAAGATATGGTGGAGACTCCTGGTAGGCTGCCTGTTTGAGTCATCTTTTAGTTTTGATCAATTTTTTTAATGCAGATCATCTGTTTAATGTAGATGAGGTTCTTTGTTGAAGTACCACTAAACAGTTTCCTGCTCCTCCACCCTACTGGTTTAAAATGGAATTACAACTGTCATAAACATCCCAGCTGCATACTGCTGTAGCTAGCGCTAACAAAAACCTAAAGCTAATGTGAGCCAACTAACAAAAAAAAAAAAAAAACCACTAAGTAAAAAGATCCACACTGTTGGACAAAAATCATATTACTTACAAGTCCAGTAGCAACAAACCCAGGTCACCATCAGTCCGTGATTTTGTAGCCTCCCTGTAGCTCCCTCAAACCAGTGTAGGCCGTGCCAATGTTTACTCTGGTTTTAGCTCTTTGCTTTGCCTCCAAAGACATTACTGTCATGTTCTGATTCCCCAGCTTCAGGTTAGTGTCATGTTTGTGTTAATTGCTCCCACCTGCCTCTCGTACCCTAATTACCTGTCCTCATGTATTTTAAGCCCTGTGAGTTCTGTGTGTTGTGTGGGGTTGTCTGAAGTTGTCATCTGCATCAGTGCCGCCTGGTTATCCTGAGTTTTTGTCTCCTGTGTCTCACATTGAAGATACTTTAAACCTCACTGGCGGTTCTACATGGAATTACTCCCCGGGCGAGGCCCCCTTTGAGCCCCCCCACCCCCCCCCACCCCACCACCACCACCACCACACACACACACACACACACACACCACCACCACCACACCACCCCACCTGCACGAACACACGCATGTTTCCACAAACAGGCATGTTTTATTAGAATGACTATTGAACATTCGTTTTTCTAAGTTGCACATTAGTGTTGTCAAAAAAATCGATACCTAGATATAAATCGATGCTAAAAGTGGTATCTAAATTAGATATTCCATCCTTGTGGTATCGATATTATGGACTATTATACACAGCCTTCTTCAAGTACACCGACACGCACGACAGCCAGATGCCGTAAAGCAGCCTCCGCCTCCCAGACAAACAGAAGAAGACGCCGCATGGCTACATTGCAATTTCCCACACGAGTTGTCTCCGATCCAAGTTTTGTCTGCCAAATAAATAAACAAAACATAAACAGCGAATTTGGGAGGCGCTTCACAGCCCAACTTAATTAGCATACCAAGTCCGACATGTAGTTGTATATTCACGCTTATGTGCTTAAAGGAAAACTCCCGTTTATTGCAACCCGGACTTAATTTCTAGCATGCAGTACGTTTGTTTACTCACGCTGACAACTTTGGTGCTACTTGGATTCCCCGGGGTATTTAGATCCATCGGCGAATCGCCATCAGTGTATATCCATATAACGGGTGCGGACGGGCACCCATGGTGCAGCCTCGAAGTAAGACATTATCTGCACCAAAACATCTTCATGTCGAAAGGTTTTGTTAGGAATCATTAAAATGATTCCCCTGTTCGTTTGGAGCGAAACTGGGTTTTCTAGGCATGAATAGACTAGCCGCGGCTAATCTAACCAGCGCTTTTAATGACGTCACTGCCGTGCGCCAGTCTGTTTTTATTAAGATTACCGGTAGATGTACCTTTGTCCTACTGTGGAGAAATTCGTTTTCTCCCTTTATTGACCAACAGAGTTGTTCAAAAGTACAGAACAAAACATATGGTATTACAGCTTATGACAAAAATGCACCTCAAACAGAGTTTAAGCAGCAAAACATCACTCTGCAAATAGTGTATATATATAGTGAGACAATTCATGATTTAAAGTGTTAACTTTCGCCAGTTTTTGTATGCACGTTTTAAAAAATGCTGATACTTGAAAGGTTTAAGCACTTTACACACTTAATTCTTAACATTTAATTTTTGCAATATAAATTGAGGAATGTTATTTTTTGAATAAACTTGTTCAATAAATTGGTGTTTTTAAATATTATCGAAATCGAGTATCGAGTTTTTTTCCCAGTATCGAATCGAGTTTGAAATTTTAGTATCGTGACAACCCTATTGCACATATTTACTTTAATTACTATGAAGCTGTCAGAATGTAAAGCAGTATACATTATATACGGTATCAAAATATATAGAATCAAATATACAAAAACAAACAATAACTAAACATTAAGAATATATGAACATAATGTATAATATTCTAAATAGCAAAAATATTTCACACATAACAAACTAAAGATAATCACTACAGCATTGCACTTAGAACAGAAAACACAAACTAAAATTAAAACCTAACCTTGATGCAAAGTCATCAATAATGTCATCATATGAAATCTGCTCCCCTACTGAGTGATTGATACTAATCAGAGCCAGGTTAGTGAGCCGCCCCTGAAACATAGGTGACCTCAGGTATGACTTGATCAAGTTTTGAAAAGCTCCTCTCAGCTTGAGCCACAGTGACTGGCAGAGCAGTCCAAAAGTTGGGGTAGATCTCCAATAGATCTTTATCATGACCCATAATATTTTAGAGTTGCCTCTGAAATTGTAATTTAAACTGACATAAAAAAAACTGTAGACTACCAAAAATGCCAACTTTTACAGAACAAATCATGTAAAAATAACAAGTGCAGCCATCTGCAATAAATAAACAGGATAGTTAGTGGTGACTGGGGAGTTTTCTTCTGCTTAGAGTTGTTTTATTTATTATTATGTGAACATGATCAACATGTGTTTGTTGTTGTTCAGGCAGGCCACAGGCTGCAGCGAGCATTTAACAAATCCTAGTTTGAATCAGTAAAAAACGAAGGATTTTTTTCGAACCATTTGAATATTCGTTTCAATATTTCAGCCCTATTAGCTCTGTTAGCAATTAGCTGACCGAATTTAACCGTTAAAATCCCAGTTAACTAGTTAAAAAATTTAAAACATGCATCACGAGAGCGTACTTACCTTTATCTTTCTCCTCTTTTTTTCTTTTTTTTTCCTGAATCGGGCACCTGGTGGTTTTAGCCTTTTTATGTTCATCTCTTCTGTTTGGCTCTTGACTCAATAAGTTTCCTTTAGTCAGGACTAAACTATTTGACCTTGATGGGGGGGTGACCACAAAATCGTTTTGTTTTTCCTTTTTTTATTCGGCCATTTCACACAATTCAGAAAAGCCTGAAAGAATGATAGGCCTGTGTTTATGATATTATCAATGAAATGTGCGTTAAATGGAAGAACATCAAGATGTGATTGACTTTAGCCATGTTAATACAGTTGATTCAGCCCCTACCCGCTCATTTCATTTGGACCCACCCAGAGGTGAATTCCCCCGCCGCACCCTTCCCCTTTCTCTTCTTCATACACACACGGAGCACGTGAACGTTCTCAGTCAGCAGGAGCGCCTGCAGCTGCAGGGGGCGCCAACTTGCTGTTTCCAATCCAGACACTGTCATATGACAGACAGAATAGAAAACCTTGGTGCGGTGCAGATTTCTTTCTTTTTTATTTTTTAACTCAGCGCTTGTGCGCCCCTTTTGTGTCATGAAAAAATGCCGCCCAGGGCAATTGCCCTGTCTGCCCGTGCCTAAAACCGCTACTGTTAAACCTGCTATGGCTGCCTCCTGGTGTGCTCTCACCTTCTTCGGATCCACACTCACCTCAGCATGGCAATTACTCTCTTACTATCGCTTCCAGGCTCCGCCATGATGCAAACAGAAAATCAAACTTCTTCTTCATGTGCTTTTTATTGACTATTGGCAAACTGAAAATACTAACTGCTAGCATACAGCTAACAGCTGTAAAGCAGGTAAAAAAAATCGCTTCCTAGAACACCTACCCGCTCCACAAAACTATCTAGTGCAGTTTTTGGGCAGCAGAGGGCTGCAGAGGGGTGCCAAATATGAAACTGGTCAAGTTTCTTACCCAACAATCACTGAGGTCAATTTTAAAGCTCTAACTTAAAGTAAAAAAAACTGTCTATTGTTACTTTAAGTAGACGATCATCTGTGTTATGTAGACGATGGTCCTTTTCATGTATGTGATGGTCTGTTTTTTTGTAGGTGTTTATGCAGATGATGGTTTGTTTTATATGAAAGTTGGACAGCTTGATTTATGATGACCAATACTGAGAACGATTCCTGTAAGATAAATGTGTACATTGGTTTCAGTCTGTGTGATGTTCCCATGTTGGTGGGATTATTGAATTTCTTAGGTCCTTGTGCTTGCACAGCACTTACCTCCAACTCCATTAGTGATGGTACTTAAATAATACAAAGCTGTATCTGCTCTGTGTCCTCAGTTGGTTCAGCTTGGCTGCCTCTGCTGAGGGATGGAGGCAGAGTCATCATAAATGAGCAGCAACTTCCTGTGGCTGTTAATCTACCTGCGGGGTACCTCAATGCCCAGGACAACAAGGTAAAATCAAAAAGCATAGCCAGTAATCCAATATTTAAATATAAAACGGTTGATCTGTTGGTTTCACTATTGATCAGTTGGACAATTAATTTATGGGAGGATGATTTGGTCAACTGATGTATTGGTTGGAAAATATATCATTGAATACTCAATTGGTCCTCCTCTACTTTTGACTCTTACAGTTTTTTGTAAAAGCTTATTTTTTCCTTATAAGAAAAATAGTAAATATTTGTCTATTAATCTATCAAAAAACTTGTACTGTTAAACAATCTCTACTTCTGATCCTTATAACAATTTAAGAAAAAATATATTTATTTGTGTTTTCTCTTTAGTGAGTTCATGTTCTATCTTTAAGCAACTGTCCTGAATGTCACCTTGTGGTGGACACACTTCAGGGTTATGAGACAGAAATCCTGATACCAGTGATTAGACTGGGACCGTCCATTGAGCCAGAAGCTTCAGTACCAATGTAATTAGTGTTAAGATGTAAACCATTTAACACACCAAACCATCCAAACCATGAAGTCCTCCTGATGCTGGTTTTCTGATGCAGGAATAATGCTTTTACTATTAAAGGTTCCAGATCATTCTATTTTAACCCTCCCACTGTCCTAATGGGTGTGACCCCATGAGGAAAGTTGACCATTGAGCAGGATTGATGGTTTATCCCTTGGGTCCATGTGGCAGGGGTGAGGAGTGAGCACCACCTCACTCCTGCCACATGGACCTCAAGGGATTAACCATCAATTCTGCTCAATGGTCAACTTTTCTGGTGGGGTCCCCCATAGACAGTGGGAGGGTTAAACCTTTGAGAGCAAAGGTAGACACAGTATATGATCAAATCATTGCTGGCAATATTAAGGTGTCATTTGTCTTTAATACGTGTTATTTTTGTCAGCCTGAATTTATACCTTTATACCTTCGAATAAGACACTGTCAACTGTCTTTGTACCAAAAAAAAAAAAAAAGAATCCAGCTTAGAACATTACGTTTCATTATTTTGAGAGTTGGATATGTCTCTTTGGGTGAAATATATTTAACATCTATTAACACCCAGCAGCCATGTTCACCTGTAGGACAAACACCCAAACTCAAGCTGAGCAACTTCATAAAGTTGAAAAAAGACAGAGCAAATTTTGTGGGGGTTTTGTACAGCTGCACAAATTTAAAGAGTAGCAAACAACAGTATGCCAGCCTTAATAACCAGGGGCGCCTCCAGAAAATTTTGATAGGGGTGGCCAGACAAGGCCAAAGACATTTTTGGGATGGCACACCACATTGGTGCTTGTGGTAACTCTGGGAGAGTTTAGCCTGTGGCGATGTATTGCATTGCTTCTTTATTCGTTTTTATTTAAAAAAAAACAGTATATATCCAAAACATTTAACTTCAACTTTACAAACACCAACATTTCAGAAAAATACATATCGCTTACTTCAAATTTTATTTTAAATTTTATTTTTAAATTTATCTTTTTTAGTTTAATTCACCTGTTGCTGTGTTCACAAAAATCTATGGAGAAAATAAAACTTTTTTAAAATGGTGAGCAGCAGAAACATATGTATTTTTTATTCTGATTATCTCTTTACTCATTAATTGTATTATTTTTTTATTTTGTTTTATTACGTCTTGAATAAACAAGATCAATTTATGGTTTGACTGAACATTAATCGATTTATTAGCACTGGCTTTTCCTGGGGGGCCCAGCAATTTTCTAGGAGTGGCCATGGCCACCCCTTGGGGGCACCATTGCTAATAACAGTGTATTATACTATTTTGTTAGGCAGAACAACCAAATCTGAACAGTTAATTTTGTATTTCCACTTCTTATCTCCTGGTTTTCTGTTCAGTAATTGACATCTTTCTGTTCTTACAGCAGTCTGGTTTGGAGATCAAATGGGCTGATGGAGGAAAACCTCTGTTCACAGTCTCAACTCATCTAGTTTCAACAGTGTACACTCAGGTGAACACACATGGAACTTCCATGTTCTACTAACATGCACACGAGTGGTGAATATGAACGACCCCTTTATGTGTCCGCCAGGATCAGCATTTACACAACTTCTTCCACCACTGTCAAAGCATGGAGATGTCAGAACGAGCCTCGGAGGGAGAGCTGATTAAATACCTGAAGGTGAAAACAATTTTTGTCTCTTTAAATGAAATTGGACGTCCATCTAACATCTTCACTTCTGTATTAGAGTCTTCATGCTATGGAAGGTCACGTAATGGTAAACTTCCTGCCCACCATCCTCAACCAGCTCTTCAGCGTTCTGACCAGGACGACACATGAGGATGTGGCTGTCAATGTTACCAGGCACGTCTTTACCCTCCTTGAACTTTTTCTTCTTTTTCTCCAATAGTTTTTATTCCATTATCTGTTTATCTTTGTGTTTCAGGGTGATAGTTCACATAGTAGCTCAGTGCCACGAGGAGGGTCTTGAACATTACCTAAGATCTTACGTCAAGGTGACGTTTAATCTATTCTATCAATGCCGACGAGATCCAGTGTGTGTCTGGGTTCTGTAGACCAAAGCACCTTTTTTTTCTCTTTCTTGTTTCTTTTCACAGTTTGTGTTCAAGCCAGAACCTTATTCTTCCATCAGTGTGAAAACCATTCACGAGGAGCTGGCTAAAGCCATGACAGCCATCCTCAAGCCATCTACAGATTTCTTAACAAGTAACAAGCTTCTGAAGGTAAACCCACCAATACACTCACCTAACGATCTCACTGGCTGCTATAAACACTGGCGGTTCTACACATGAGCTTACAATAAATAGAAACAGCACTGCACACCTGTCCCTTCCTCTCCAGCTTGTATGTCTGACCGGAGGGGGGGGAGTGTGTGTGGGGTTCGGGGGCCATAAAGAGAGGGCCCACCTATTGAGTACCGCTGTAGTAGAGTGTGGAAAGTTGTCAGTATGTCCTCCAGCAGTCTAAGCCTTTAGCAGCATAACTATAGAGATAACTCTGGATAGCCTAGCCTTTTAGATGGAGGCATGTTGGAGGAGGGGTAAGGGAGAGCCGTCTTTACCGACTGTATTCTCGACCTCCCTCTACTCCCCCACTTGTCCAGATCTGGGCTAACATCAAATTTTAACCACAGGCCCTATCAAATAAAAAAATTTTACGCCTAGTCTTAAAAGTAGACAAGGTGTCTGCCTCACGAACTAGAGATGGGAGCTTGTTCCACATGAGAGGAGCCTGATAGCTAAAAGATCTGCCTCTCATCCTATTTTTAGATAGGGTTATGGTCCTATTTTAAGATAGGATGGAAGGCAGATCTTTTAGATAGTTAGACATCCAAGCACCCTTAATAAGAAATAAGCTGGGTTTTCCTGTTTGTTCTATCACTTCTGCCACCCTGTCAACAAAGGCTGCTAACTTTATTTGATTATTTTCAGCACTCGTGGTATTTCTTTGAAGCCCTTGTGAAATCCATGGCTTATTATCTGATGGAAAGCGGTAAGGTCAAGGTAGGCCTGCTTCTTTAAATTATTCTGTTCCTGGAGTCATTCTCTTTGTGCTTAACATTGAGTTTTCCATCTTCAGCTTTCCAGGAACCAGCGGTTTTCCGCCTCCTTTTACCACTCAGTGGAGACTCTGGTCAACATGCTGATGCCTCACATCACCCAGAAATACAAGGAGAACTTGGATGCTTCCCGCAATGCCAACCATAGCCTGGCGCTCTTCATCAAGGTCAGGACTTGTCCCAGCTCCTACAATAAGTTCATAATAAGACCCCAGATTGTTAAGAACTAAAGTCCTACATTTCACCAATGTTTTGAGCTTCTGCTGTTTCCTTTTCACTCAGCGTTGCTTCACCTTCATGGACCGAGGCTTTGTATTCAAGCTGATCAACAACTACATGAACTGCTTTCTGCCTGGAGACCCCAAGGTAGGGTCTTTAATGGTTTAGATGGATTTCAAACAATTTCCACCAGGCCCTTAACTGTTGCTTCTGGTGTTCCTTCCAGACTTTGTTTGAATTTAAGTTTGAGTTCCTGCGAGTGGTTTGCCACCACGAGCACTATGTGCCTCTCAATCTGCCCATGCCCTTTGGAAAAGGCCGAATTCAGAGGTTTCAAGGTAAAAACAGAACAGAGTCCACATGAACCCCATCTACAGAGCAGGGTTTTATTGTTCTGTGATCTGCGCCTGCTGCAGACCTCCAGCTGGACTACTCTCTGACTGATGACTTCTGTCGGAACCACTTTCTGGTGGGTTTTCTGTTACGGGAGGTGGGTACTGCTCTCCAGGAGCAGAAAGAAATCAGACAGATCTCCATCCAGGTGCTAAAGGGTCTGATGATTAAACACACGTTTGATGATCGCTACGCTGCCAAGGTTAGCTTCTCCATCATCTTGCTGCTCCATTAATATCTGCATTAATTCCCTTTTCATGGAGTGCTATTTTTCATTAGGACCAAATAATTTTGCTTTCTCTAAGTAAACCCTCTTTTATATGTCATTTCAGAGCCACCAGGCCAGACTGGCCACTCTCTACCTTCCTTTGTTTGGTCTTCTTCAAGAGAATGTCAACAGGCTGGATGTGAAGGACTCAGCTCCTCCCAGCAGCCAAAATGTAAGCCTGTCCTCTAATGGTAGTACCTTAAATGAAAGCTTCTCCCTTAATGGTCTAGATCATGGTTCACACATGAGTTACTGGGTTAATACGGTATTATTTCTTCTCCCACTGGGATGTTTTCTGCTCTAGCACATAAGAGAGGACTCTCTGGTCCCAAACTCCATGGTGAACCCCCAGAAGCCTGGAAGCTGTATAGAAAATGCTCTCCACAAGGACGTCTTTGGGGTCATCTCTGGGACAGGTGACTTCTCTCCTCTGACTTTTATCAGTGACAAGCAGCTAATTAGAGATATTTAAATGACATGAGAACCGTTTTGTCTTTGTTAGAAAAGCTAGTTCAAAAATCCTTTGATATAAATACAGTTTTGGATCTTGTCTGGCTACTAGAAAGTGGTAAATTGACCAAATGTCCTTACAAAAGAAGGGCTTTACAGGTTTTCTCCATGACCCAGTAGACCTCTACAGACTTCTTTCCTTAGGGACTCCCACACCTACTTCCCCAGATCACACGGGTCCACCATAAAGCACGGCAAAGGCATAGTAAACAGTGAGCAGAACGAGTATTAAACAAAGGGAAAAGTAGTGCTTGATTGGTTTTTGAAGTTTTTGGTTTTGCTTTATGCAATATTTAGCATAGCTTCAACTAGTTCAAGCCCAGTTTGGTTATCTAAATAAGTAGCGCACCTACTGTGGGTGGGGCAACAGTGAATTACAGGAGAGTGGAGGGCTAAAGTGGTGACTGAGGTGGCTTTTATTGCCAGTTTAGTCTGGTTTCTAAACGTTTGCACATTTTAATTCTGCCTTAGAGGCCTAAACCATAGTAAAGTGATCAAACTTAATTTTATTTTTGAAGCAGAGGCTCATGGGAGTTTCAAACTGGATTTTTTCTCACTTATTAAAACACTTTTTATCATACAATATCTCTTACTGTTACGTTACTGTTGAGTTAAGTTGCAGTACCCTTCAGCCACCACAAGGAGGAACAGCAGCTACGTCACTTCCCCTCTCTTTTAGTGCTAATGTGATTATTTTTCTGCTCTCCCTCGTCAGCTTCCCCTCACAGCTCCACCCCTAATGTGAGCTCGGTTCACCACACAGGCTCCAGAGGCTCTCTGATCTCCACCGACTCAGCAAACAGCCTTCTGGACAAGAGCAGCGACAAAACCAACTCACTGGAGAAGAAGGTAGACGCCCACTTTCATCTGATCTGTGTCTGACAGATGGTTTTAATTTCTTTGTAATCAGTTCTGCTACAACCAATCAAATGTGTTTTTGTAGGAAGGCTGGTGAATTTTCTCAGCAAAGGTCTTAAGATCAAAATCTAAGGAAAAAACTTTTAAATTCATTTCACTGAATCAGGCCTTATCTGTGTATCAGGAGAACCCTAAATCTACTCAGATAGGATGATTTAGGCCTTGCTTTTATCAGAGGAGCGACTGCAGCTTTCCTTGTCCTTGTTGCTGTGATCTGAACTCTTGGAAACCCTCGCCCTCCTCCTCCAGAGCCTCCCCACTTCCTCCTCCATCTCCTCGATAACCCAACAAAAGGAGACATTTACCAGGAGGCACTCTGTCAACGTGCCCCCCATCCCCCTCGACCCAACGGGGTGGGTTCAGCCTCTGAGCCGGGCAGCAAAGCGGGTCACTGTGGACTTCTCAGTCCTCTCTATCCCGCTGCCTGTCCTGCAGCTGGACAGTGAGAAGAGCAAAGAAGCGAATGGAGCTCCTGAAGAGACTCCTTCCATACAAGTATTGGGTTTGGCGTGTGCTGACTCTCCTCCATCAGCTCTTGGATGTAGTTGTACAGACTTCAGACATCTAGATGTCTGTACAACACATCCTGCCCTGACTTCTCTGAGTGTCTCTCTTCAGTGTCCTCCAGCTGGTGTAGCTTCTGCACCTCAAACCAAACAGACCTCTCTTCCTCTTCACTCTCCCTCACTCTTGTTTGGGTTTTCTGAGTGTTTGCTCTCTCTAGAGTTCTGGTGCTTTGTCCTCTCCATCTCACTTTGTGTCTCGTCTGTGTCTGCCAGAGCCAATGTGTGTCCACGCTGGGCAGCAGCATTCTGCGCTGGGACAAACTGGACCGAGAGGATATCAGAAACCTGCTCATGTGCTTCCTGCACATCCTCAAGAGCATGTCAGAGGGTAGGAGTCTGAGGTTTCAGAAGTGCTGCAGACAAACGCGGATGTCTATTAACGTGTTTACTGTTCTGGTTTGATTTGACATCTCAGAGGCCCTGTTTGCCTACTGGAACAAAGCAACCCCCTCAGAGTTAATGGACTTCTTCACTTTAATAGAGTAAGTACTCAACAAGACTGCCTCTTTAGGCTCCTTACGCATCTCCCCACTGTCATTAAACAGACATCACAGCCTGTTAATGAAAGTTCTGATTTGTAATTAGGAGTCAGCCAGATGAGCTTCTTTCTCACATTCATTGACGTCTGTAGGATTCTTCTAGCTTCAGACTCAATTTTGATGCAACACTAGCAAGAGCTTTTAAGCTATTACTTTCAAACTGGTTTCAGTGGTTCTTGAGCCAGAAAGTTGAGTAGCTTCCAATGGAACATCACTCTGCTGCCCTCTGCTGACCAGAAATGGTACTAAAAGCCTTTGGTGGTTCAGGTCAGCACTGGTGGGAGGTAGAGCAACAGCCGGGGTAGAGTTTACCATGCCACTGGCTAATATAAAGGCTTAGCATTTTCTGTTTGCCAAACTTCAAGAAAAAGAAAAAGCACAAGAGGAAATCGTTAACTTTGTTGGCATCATGGCGGAGCCTGCAAGTGAAAGTAAGACAATAATGTTGCATGAAGCATGATCGAGACATGTAAAAGTATTTATCTAAAACCTAATTAGTATAATAACTTAGTTAGACTCGTGTGCACCATTGGTTTTCTGTGACCTTTAATAAATCAGACATTTAGTCAGTTTGTTGTTCTGGAGCATACAGTGTGTGTGAACTCAAGCTCAGTGAACTAGTGGTAGAGTGTCTGCCGTGGGACCCGGAGATTGGGGTTCAATTCCTGGTCGGGTCATACCAAAGACTGTGTCCCCGCTTGATTCTCAGCTTTAAAGGGTTGGATTGGGGGCTTAAACCACCAAATAGTTCCTGAGTGCAGCCACAGCTGCAGCTCACCATTAGAGTATGGGGTACCAGGCCCTCTGATACGGGCTGTTAGGTCGCTGTATGACCGGTGTTAGAGCATGGTCCGCATTGACGGCAGTAAGTTGGGCTCGTTCCCAGTGAGAGTTGGACTCCGCCAAGGCTGCCCTTTGTCACAGATTCTGTTCATAACCTTTATGGACAGGATTTCTAGGTGCAGCCAAGGTGTGGAGGGCATCCGTTTTGGTGGCCTGAGGATCAGGTCTCTGCTTTTTGCAGATGACGTGGTCCTGTTGGCTTCATCAGAACGTGATCTTCAGCTTTCGCTGGAGTGTTTTGCAGCCGAGTGTGAAGCAGCTGGTATGAGAATCAGCTCCTCTAAATCTGAGACCATGGTCTTGATTCAGAAAAGGGTAGAATGCTTTCTCCGGGTCAGGGATGAGGTCCTGCCCCAAGTGGAGGAGTTTAAGTATCTCGGGGTCTTGTTCACGGGTGAGGGAAAACTGGAGCGTGAGATCGATAGGCGGATTGGTGCTTCATCTGCAGTGATGCGGGCGTTGTACCGGTCTGTCGTGGTGAAGAGAGAGCTGAGTCAGAAGGCAAAGCTCTCGATTTAGCAGTCGATCTACGTTCCTACCCTCACCTATGGTCGTGAGCTTTGGGTAGTGACCGAAACGAGATTGCGGATACAAGCGGCCAAAATGAGTTTTCTCCGTAGAGTGGCTGGGCTCTCCCTTAGAGATAGGGTGAGAAGCTCGGCCATCCGGGAGGGGCTCGGAGTAGACCCACTGCTCCTTTACATCAAGAGGAGCCAGTTGAGGTGGCTCGGGCATCTGGTCAGGATGCCTCCTGGACGTCTCCCTGGTGAGGTTTTCCAGGCACGTCCAACTGGGAGGAGAACTAAAGGTAGGCCCAGGACACGGTGGAGGGACTATGTCTCTCACCTGGCCAGGGAACGCCTTGGGATTCCCCCGGAGGAGCTGGCTCAAGTGGCTGGGGAGAGGGAAGTCTGAGCCTCTCGCCTTAGGCTACTGCCCCCGCGACCTGACTCCGGATAAGCGGATGAAAATGGATGGATGGATGTTGGGATTTTATGAATGTAATTTTTACAAATAAAATCTTGCTAACCTCACAACCTCAGCGCAGATTAAATTTTGAGGACCCCAGTTTGGGAACCACTGCCCTAGAGAAGGACCCATTGCTGCCCCTTGATCTGAAAAAGGTCAATGGTCATTTTAACAAATCGTAGTTCACTAATCAAACACATTTAGGACAGCTGATGGTCTTCCCAGGAGTTGAAGGTTCACCCTTCAAAACTACTTTCACACCCTACGGGCCTCAGGTGAAAGGTCAAATGTCATGACAGGTTTGGCTTGTTTGGATGTTCTGAAGAAAACCTCTACTCTTTAAAAGCGTAACCTAATTATTTCATCTGGGACAATCTCCTTTGGGCAGATGAGACCAAATTAGGGATGTTTACCCACAATGCACAGCAGCATGTACGGAGAAAACCAAACAGTTCATACCAGCTGTCAGCACGGTGGTGGATGGCTGATGGTTTGGTCCATCTAGTAGACTTTACTAACAGAACATGAATGCGGAGCAGAGTAGTAAAGTTTTGTTTTTACCTTTTAAGCTGACAAGTTTTGGCTAACGCTGATGCTCTGAGGAAGGCTACAGAGTTAGCCGAAACTTGTCAGCTTAAAAGGTAAAAACAAACCTCTACTACACTGTGTTTAGAAAAGAACCAAGCAATGGAAATTGATGGATTACACAGAACAAAAGATGTTCAAATGAATGCAGAGCATCTGTACAAAAAAAGCTGATTCGCTTCGATGGTGTCCCCTGTCTCCCCCTATATCCCCTTGCAGAATCTGCCTCCATCAGTTCAGATACATGGGGAAGAGATTCATCTCCAGGTACGGTTGACTTTTCTGATCAGATTCACCCTTAAACTAATCGTGTTTTGCTGTAATCCGACACACACATCTGCACAGAATCTAAATGCTCCTGTTAACCTTCAGCTGATGGTTTGATCTCTTATCTTTAACACTGCTGCCAAGTTGTTTAATGAGTGTGGAGGCCCTAGGCCCCCCTGGCACGGGTAAGAGCTCCATTCACTCTGCTTCAGTTAATGCATGACACCTCTTGTCTTCTGTTCTAACGTCAGTGTGAATAAGGAAAGCTTCATCTAAACTCATGGTATCCTCTTTCATTTTGTCCTCTTTCTGTCAACAGGAGCCAGGAGGGGGTGGGGCCTGTAGCTGCAGACAGGAAGTCTCTGACACTACCTGTGCCTCGTAACAGGGCGGGGATTCTCCATGCCCGTCTGCAGCAACTGGGAACTCTGGAGAATGCCCATACGATCACTAACAGTAAGTTTCTTATAAAATGGAGGGAACGTGACGAGAGTCAGTATCTGTGGCTAAAGCTCTCGTTGTGTTCTTAGTGTACTCTCACACCGAAGCAGATGTAAACAGCCAGTGTCTGCTGGAGGCCAACATCTCCACAGAGGTCTGTCTGACCGTGTTGGACACCCTCAGCACCTTCATCATGGGATTCAAGGTATTAGACCTCCAACATGAACAAAGTCTCTGTTTCTGTCCATCTAATAGAACCTACTTTCTGTGTTTCAGACCCAGCTGGCTTCAGATTTAGGTCACAACCCCCTGATGAAGAAGGTTTTCCTGGTGCACCTGTGCTTCCTGCAGATCCCTCAGTCAGAAGTTGCCCTCAAGCAGGTCTTCACCTCCCTCAGGACCTTCATCTACAAGGTGAAGCCTCTGTTTACTCATCTGTCCCCTCTGAGGATTTCTCATGAATTATCCTAAAGTCTTTGTCTCCATGTCCTCCAGTTTCCCTGCACCTTCTTCGATGGCCGGGCAGACATGTGCGCCTCTCTCTGCTATGAAATCCTCAAGTGCTGCAACTCAAAGCTGAGCTCCATCCGCAGTGATGCCGCCCATCTTCTCTACTTCCTCATGAAAAGCAACTTTGACTACACGGGCCGCAGGTCTTTTGTTCGGACGCACCTGCAGGTGGGGGGAGGCCTTTCTGAAGAAAACAAGTGCATTAGACACAATGAGGTCCTTAGTGGGAGGTTGATGGTGTTTGTTGTCATTCCCTCAGGTGGTAATCGCTGTTAGTCAGCTGATCGCTGATGTCATCGGCATTGGGAGCACCCGGTTCCAGCAGTCCCTTTCCATCGTCAACAACTGTGCCAACAGTGATAAGAGCATAAAGGTGAGAAATGGTAGAGTTAATCCTGGCTCTGTTTCAGTTAAACTGACTTGAGTTCTAGCTCGTTTGTGTGTTATCTGAAGTCAGCTGGCGGCTGTTATCTGAAGTAAGCTGAAGTCAGCTGTGGTGGCCATCTTGAATTGGATTACATCCAACTGGTAATGTCAAAGATCTCATCTGGTCAGTCTGGGATGGTGCTAACTCTCAGCTTCTACAATACCAAACTCTATACCAGCTCCCGTTTAAATAACAGACAGGCTAAAACATTATAACCTGCCTCTGAGCCTTTCAGTGACAGGTGGAGAAAGATCAAAAATCTAAATTTCACACATTTCTGATATAGTGCCGCCTTAGCCGAGTCTCTTTTCAGGAACAGTTTAATTGTTCTTTACACAATAAAAAGTACTGGATGATTATTATCTATAAACCTGCTTGATTCTTAACTTAAAAGGAGACAAATCATTCTACTTTGACATTATAAAAGTAATTTTAAGTCATGTCAGACTATTCCACTGATGTTTCATACAGCTCTTCTACCCATTTATCTTGGTAATGTCTCCTACACCAACCTCTATGGAGCTCCTTCTCTTTAACAGGAGGAGTACCTTCCTGTAAAATCAGCTGTAATAAACGTCTTTGGGTGCCATTTATAATTGTTAACATCAAGTAAATAGCTCAGGGAAATGAGTAATCTCAGGTATTGGACTTTAAATGACCACATAGGTACGGGTATTACAGCTGCCAAAAGCCTGGCACGTCAGGTAATCAATTTAAAGTGAAATGAATAAATGAAATGGAATCAAAATGTCAGAGTACAAATGTAACTCTTACCTCCCACCATGAGGACCTTGTAGCTACATGCAGGTTTCTCTTCATCCACATCTCTGACGGGTTCCTGTTGCAGCACACAGCATTTCCTTCAGATGTGAAGGACCTGACCAAACGCATCAGGACGGTGCTGATGGCAACGGAGCAGATGAAGGAGCATGAGAACGACCCGGAGATGCTGGTGGACCTCCAGTACAGCTTGGCCAAGTCCTACACCAGCACCCCTGAGCTCCGGAAGACCTGGCTGGACAGCATGGCTCGCATCCACAACAAGAACGGAGATCTGTCTGAGGTTCGGAGCTCTGAATGAGCCACGTGCTGCTGTTAGATGCGTACCGTTGTGCTAACGGCTGCTTCTGTTCTTTACCAACAGGCGGCAATGTGTTATGTGCATGTTGCTGCTTTAGTGGCTGAGTACCTGTGGCGAAAAGGTGAGTATAAAATGTAGGGGGTGGAGCTTAAAGGGGAGTGTCATCTTCTATAAATCGTACTTCAGTGTTTTAATGATCTCAGTTTATAGGCTCTAAATTAGTCTCCATTGGGTGGTCTGAGGAGAGAGTCATAGAAGATTAAAAACAGACGGACAGACCCAGCTTGCTGATTTTTGTAGATTTAATGTAAATAAATTTCAGTTAAAGATCCCAAAGACGTGACAGCTGACAGCAGAATCTATTAGAGAATGAACTTAAACAAGTCCAGAGTGGTGGAGAATACCATTTGTTAAAGCAGCCTGGATGTAGGATCATTCTTTGATCCCAGGTCAAGATGTACCTCCCTCTGATAGTGTTGCTGTTCAGACAAGCAGACACAACACCAGCTTTCATCACAACAAACAGACTAAAATCTGACTTTTACTCCCAATAACATAGCATGTAGACGACAACATTGTTGTATTTAACCTGGAGGTCACACTATAGGCTACAGTATTATAAATGTTGTGATGTTTGTCTCTTATCATATCTCAACACCTTTTAGTTAAAGTGTGACGGTGTTGTCTGACTCACACTTGTTCTCTGGGTTTGTTAGGAATGTTCAGGCAGGGCTGCTCAGCATTCCGGGTCATCACTCCAAACATTGACGAAGAGGCAGCCATGATGGAGGATGTTGGGATGCAGGATGTTCACTTCAGCGAGGTTAGACTTTACATTCTGGTCTGTTCCATGTGTTATTTGGTGTTGGCAATGAAAAACTAATTTCATGATGGTCTATGACCTACACCTGCTGTTTCTATAGGAATAGTTTACTAAAACCACGAAGAGCAAGTAGACAGAAACTCTGAGCTGAAATGTGAATCTGGAGAGCTGTGTTTATTTTCTGTGTGTGTTCAGGAGGTTTTGCTGGAGCTGCTGGAGGAGTGTACTGATGGTCTGTGGAAGGCTGAGCGTTATGAGCTCATTGCTGACATCTACAGACTCATTATTCCCATCTATGAAGAACGCAGGGACTTCGAGGTGATCAGTAGACTTTAGTACAGAAGCCAATCTACGCTCTATCTTTCTATAAACACATTATAATTAACATGGTTCTGATCACAGAGTACTAGAGATTTGTTATTTACCATCAGCAAGAAGGTAAATAACAAATCTCTAGTACTCTATCTTCAGAAAAGAACCAAATAATGGAATTTGATTACCAACACAGAGCAAACTAAACAAAGACTGAACTGAACAGTTCCCATTAGACATGTCCTACTCACAAAAACATGGAAATCAAAGCTTCAGCCCAAACTCATTGTGTTTATTATAAATGTAAATTGTTTTTACCAAGTTGACAGAAAAATGCTCAACTGGTTTTTCCATTGTCTGGAACTGAATGTGTAAGTAATTGGTACTTACAGTAACCTGATAAGTATTCTCTACTTACCCTGTATGTATCTACGGAGCAATAGTATGTATTGCTACCAACTTTATTACGAGAATAATTCTATATGAAACATCCATTTGTCCTTGTGCTGCAAATGACACACAGCTGCTACCACAAATACATGTAATGTTTTAGCCATTTTACATTTAGATGCAGTTGATTAGCTAGTTGGTGGTGGCCATCTTGAATTGACTAACAAAAGTTAGTCAGATGTAAATGAACATACAAACGTTACACTAAAATGTGTCCAGTCAATGACAGAAATTTTAGACAATAGTCACATGTGATTGGTTAGTGCTGAGAATACATGTTGAAAATAGCTATTAGCTACCATGACACCAACCTTTAGCTCAGAATCTGTAGATTTGACTGAACTGTAGACATTTTTATCTTTGCTAAGATTGACTAAAGTTAGCTGTGGTGCCTATCTTGGATTGGGTTTGCTCCCAACTGTAGTTAGTTGTGGATGGCTAACTAAATTTTACTTCCTGACAGTTTAATTTAAATCTGTTGAAAATCTACCAGACACAAGCCTAAGAATTTGGCAGTTAGTGGTAACAAGGAGCTTAAAACCAAAGTCATGTTTTGTTTTAATCTCATGACAGAAACTGACACACTTGTACGATACTCTCCACCGTGCTTACACCAAAGTGATGGAGGTGATGCATACGGGCAAGAGGCTGCTGGGAACATACTTCAGAGTGGCCTTCTTTGGACAGGTAAGCTTTAGAAGAGTTGAACAAACTCATGTTGTGTTTAGTCCAGGAACATGTGTGTTCACTTAAACACTGTTTAACAGAAATTCCTGTTCTTTCTCTCATTGCCCTCCAAGGCTGCGGTAAGTGTGTGTTGGTCCTCAGTCTTCTCCTGTATCAGTACGTTTTTAGATTCTTTAGGGGCTGGGGGGTAATTTAGTTCATAGTTTTTCCTCCTCTCCTCCCTATCTTATCCCCAAGGCTCTTTGTCTGTCTTTGGGTGTACGGTGCTTCTACATTTTTTCTGGAAACTAGAAATTATTAAAAATGGATCTGGTCAGCTGGTCACTCAACACGATTGACAAAATTTTCTCAACGATGAAATCGGGAGAAGGGGCTCCCGGGTGCCCCTCTGGGACAGATCCATTTGGGCATATCATGGACTCCTGGAAACAGTGCAACCTGATTTGCCTATCTCAGTCTGTAGAGGATTCTGAAGACGTCTGGATATTCGTGGCGTTGGTGTCAGGTTTCCTGCTCTTTGGCCTTGGAGGTTATCTGGCTTACTAGAAAATTAATGAGCTGTCGAGGAATATTGGCTTGCTCCCGGAGCTCAGAGATGGATTGCACCACGCTGTGAATTCACAGACTCATATAATTGTCGAGATGAGTCATAAGCTTGGAACTTTGGCTGAGGTTCATCCGTTGGGACAAAAGATGGATGCGATCAAGGAGCGAGTGGATGAAACAGCATGGATTGGGATAGAGTAATTTACACCATTATTGGATTTTGAGAGGTTGAGGACCAACGGAACTTTAAGACAGAGTAGAAATTAACTCTGTCTGGCCCCAAAACAATTTCTTATCTGAATCTGGTGCCCTTGAGCCTGTGAGGCTGAAACGAATACCTCCCCCTCAGAAGAAATGTGGAATGCTGCTGTCGCCATAATAACTGTCTCCCTATCCCAGCCTGGGCGGGACTGCGAGCTGTGAAGGCCGCCGAATCGTTCCAGGAGTCACTGTGCTCTGTAAACCCAACGACCCCCCCCACTGAAGTGAAGAGCGCCGCTTATCGCAGCTGCTGGCACTGACATGTGGAGTGTCCAAAGCCCTCCTACCCCACCTAGTGGACACTTATGCTGTGTAATGTCTGAAGTCTGTTGCATTTCTGTCCGAGGTGTTTTTTTGCATAGCAAAGTTGCCCTCCCTGTGGAGGGTAATGCTGAAGTGCCTTTTTTTTCCTCCACCTGACCCAATCCTCATGTAAACCCCTCTGATCTCTATTAAGTTAGAGCGACTCGGGTTGAATGACCACAGTCACCAATTCTTGTCATGTGTCTTTGCCTATGTATGTCTGATCTCAGAATTGTGTGTAGTGAAACTCTTAATTTCCCTCTGGGATTAATAAAGTATCATTGAATTGATTTATAATTGTTACAAAAACAAAACATCTATAGTTCAGCCTGAAATGAACCAGGGCCATGAAGGGTGTTTCAGCCTTTGTAGCGTTGCTTTGATTTAATCTGCCTTCAAATACAGCCTTGGAAGGATGCATCCCCTGAATTAGGACACAGCCATAGCACGGGTTATAAAGTATATTGCAGTCTACAACTCTGACACTAGATAGCACTAAATATTTGTTACTACTCTTAAATATTGAATTTGCCATATGTAACTGTTCCATCCATTTATTTTTGTGAAAAATATGCTTGTGCTTGTGTTGAAGGGCTTCTTTGAGGACGAAGATGGAAAGGAATATATCTACAAGGAGCCAAAGTTTACTCCACTCTCTGAAATCTCCCAAAGACTTCTGAAACTCTACTCTGACAAATTTGGCCAGGAGAATGTCAAGATCATTCAGGATTCTGGAAAGGTGGAGATGTATTTGTGTGACTGTAGGACTGTAATGCTACATGGTAGACATTAAAAAGCAGCAGCTGGATCAGATATTCTCAAACTTGATATTTAAAGGTATAAATATGATTTCTAGATAAAGTCAAAGGTTCAGAAAAATCTGTGATAAGAAATGTATATTTATTAAATGTTCTTACTAATTAAAATCAAAACATTTACTTCACTTTTAGCTGACTTCCTGCACTGACAGGAAGCTGAATTACAATACATAGTGACATTAATCTCAAACCTAAATGGCCATAAAAATCTAAGATCTGTTATCCCTTACTAAACAACTACCTGCTAAGAATAAAATAATTTTGAATTTATTTATGGTGTCATACCAATATAATCTTAAAATAAAGTTACTGATGAGTTAATTTGTAATATGCTTTATCCACCACAAGGTGCTGATTAAACATGACCACAATAGCCCCTTGGATTAATTGCTAAGCACTGATACTAGCTAACGCTAACAGTAATCATGACTCTTGAATAACAACAAAACTGAAAGGAGCCAACCACTGTAATGGATGATTTACTAAGGTTAACTAGAGGTTAAAAAAATAGGTGTCAACAGGTAGAAGTGTGAAAAGTCAAAAAGAGAGAAAGCAAACTCTTTTTATGAATTCAAATCACAGTGCTAAACTAAGCTAGCTTTAACTGGTTTAGTAATTAAACATTAGTCTGGTGTTTAACTTTTGTTTTAATGTACATTTTTTTCTGAAACATAAAAACTTCAGTTTTTAGTTAAAAGTGTTTTGCTTTTGGACCCACAGGTGAACCCTAAGGACCTGGACTCAAAATACGCCTACATTCAGGTGACTCATGTGACACCCTATCTAGATGACAAGGAAGTAGAGGACAGGAAGACCGACTTTGAGAAGAGCCACAACATCCGGCGCTTTGTGTTTGAGACACCATTCACGGTTTCGGGGAAAAAGCAGGGAGGAGTGGAGGAACAGTGTAAACGGCGCACTGTTCTTACCAGTAGGTCCTACACTCATAATGGTGTTTGTTACATGACACATTTTATGTTTCTCTTTCATATTGTGGTAAGTTAGACTGTGCACAACGTTAGCTAATCCTGCTGGTTTTCTGACTTGGAACAGAAACATTGGTCAATTGAATGTGATGCCACTTCCAGTTGTTAGGTTGTGTTGGTTAGGGTTAGACTCACTGGTAGCCTGCTTATGAAAGTTGTCATGGAGACATCACTGACTGACATGAAGCTTTACCTGCCTTGAACCTTCCCACCCAGCCACCCACTGTTTCCCGTATGTGAAGAAGCGTATAGCAGTCATGTACCAACACCAGACTGACATGAGCCCCATTGAGGTAGCCATAGATGAGATGAGCTCCAAGGTGGCTGAGCTGAGACAGCTGTGCTCCGCCTCCGAGGTGGACATGATTCGACTGCAGCTCAAACTTCAGGGCAGCATCAGTGTGCAGGTATGTTAAACACATCAGCCGAATGGCGCTGAGTTAAAGACTGTCAATGGTTTGACCTCAGGTGTTTTCCAGGTGAACGCTGGTCCCCTCGCATACGCCAGAGCCTTCCTGGATGACAGCAGTGCCAAGAAATATCCAGATAACAAGGTCAAGCAGCTGAAAGAGGTCTTCAGGTAGGGATGACAAAGTGATGACTTGCTATTCATAGTTTTCATAGGCCTGATCCCAATACTCACACTTTGTTGTATGGTCTCCAGCGAAGTGCACTTAAAGGAAGTGCGCAGTAAGGCTTTGAGTGTGTATTACACAAGTGTGCAAATAATTGCCGAATTGGGACAGGGAGCATTGCGTTATCAACGTAACGTATGCCGATCGCTGTTTGTACTACTTTAAAAAAAAATCTTTATTAATAACTTTCAGCAGTTTCTTGACTAAAAGTACATTCATTGCTGTTCACATTAAATCTTAGTCTAAAACATTCAGAGCATGAATAAAGATCATTAATCGTCTTAAAAGAAACTCTTCATTTGAAAATACATATTTTCAAAAAAGGACAATTGAACCTTTGCTCCATCTTATTCTCAAAATTCCCACACAACATTGGATTGTGGATAATACCCTTTGCCGAAGTCTGCATTAATGCAGACATGGGTGAAGTGCCAAGCAAGGGTGCAAAATGGGCGTGGTCATCTTCTGCACTTGAGAATCAGGACACCTTATGCACTCGCACCCCTTGACTGAAATGCGTAATTGAAGGGCACAAAGGTGGAAGTGTGAGTATTGGGATTGGGCCTTAGATGTAGGCCACTTCTTCTACTATATTGGACATGCAGCCTGTTGATCAGTTAGAGCACTGCTGCCACCTAGTTACTGGAGGGTTAAAATTGCTTTAAAATATTGTCCTGCCCTCCCTAGGCAGTTTGTGGACGCCTGTGGTCAGGCCCTAGGGGTGAATGAACGTCTGATTAAAGAAGACCAACAGGAGTATCATGATGAGATGAAGGCCAACTATAGGGACATGATCAGAGAGCTGTCAGACATCATGCACGAACAAGTAGGAACACCAGAACACGTCATAAGTATGTTACTGTTGTATTGTGACATTTACTAACCACAAGTCCTTGTCCTGCTATCTTTGTGCTGCCTGAGCAGAATGGATGGTAATGTTGTACCTAGATACATTAATATGTATAGTTGGGAATGGTCTAACAGAATATTTGATTGAAGGATTACTTTGAGTAACGCGCTCTGGTAAATCCACTGAGGTGAACTTCATATTGTTTCCAGATCAGTCCAATGGAAGAAGGTGCCAGGACAGCTCTGTCTGACTCGATGGGTATCTTCAACGCCATCAGCGGCACTCCGGGCTCAAACCCACCAGGCTCCACCCTCTGAGAGGGATGCCTGACTCCAGACTCAGACCCCCTCCACCACAAATGACTGGTTAAACTGTGATGCATTTGAAAAACTTAACCAAATGCAACCATTCTGTAAGAGTTGAACTTTTTCTGTTCTGATTGTGTCACCAGCTGCAACAGTCAACATTACATTTGTTGGACACTGTTCTTGTTTCCTATGGAGACTTCATTTTATGCTGTTAAATCATTTATCTTTGTGTAACGTTGGTTTCACCCTTTGTAAACGAAGAGAAACACACAATAGGCTTGTGTCCTTATAAACACAATAGTGTCTGACGTCCAACGCTGCCATTGGTACCATCCAGGACCTGAGACTGAGACCTGAGCTTCAGGATATCCATCCAGTCAAGGTCTGCAGTTGTTCTTGGTCAATTTCTATTTAATTTTTTTAAAGAAATTATTTCTCTATGATAGGCCAGTGGACCTTGCCTAAAGCCAAGTGGAGGACCAGATTATTTTTGAACTATTTTATAAAAAATGTGTGCAATATTTTGTGAAGTGACCAAGGCCTCCTGCTGGACAGAATATTGCCAAAGATTTTAGGAACAGTCCATCATGTTCTCCCTCTGTCTGTCCTGTTGAAGCCTTTTTATTAGCTGTCAGGTCAAATAAAAGCAAAAACGTCTTTACCCTGTCTCTTCCCTTAAAAGCAAACTTTTTGTTAAAAGTCTTATTAACATTAAACTTGGGGTTTATCGTTGCTCTCTTTGATGTAACATGTTGATGGGATGTTGAGAACACGCAAGTGCAAAGTTACGGTTGAGAAGGAGAGAAGCTGCAGCCCTCTGGATCCTAAAGATGTAAACATTTCTGGATCAGAGTTGAGCAGCTGATCAGGAGGTGTTGAATAGTAAGAAAGTAAGTTATGTATATAGCACTCACCAGAATCACTAAGTGCTTCACATAGATCAAAAACAAAACAAATCACAAGGTCAAAATCATAATGATCTTAAATAATTTCAAATCAGGAAAACAAAGTCATGAAATTATTAAATGATCATAAATATTAGAAAAACAAATAAGATGATTATAAACTCGACTTAAAAAAGAAGAAAACACAAGATATAGCTAAAAGCAGCTCTAAATAAGAGGGTCTTCAGCTGTTTTTTTTAAAGGTTTCCAGACTCAACACGTAAGAATAAAGGAAGTTCATTCCAAAGTCAAGATGCAGTCTGGAAAGAGCGATCACCTCAACTTTTATATACACAGGAACTAGTTTCACAGTTTCTGAGTCTGATCTAAATGCTAAATGATATTTGTATAGTGATTCCAGGATTCTACAACCCTCCAAGGTGCTTCATAACTCAGTCATCAGCTACAATGTAGCCACAGCTGCCCTGAGGCACACTGATGGAAGCAAGGCTGTCAAACACCGGTCCCTCCGACAGCCACCAGCAGGCAAGGTGGGTTAAGTATCTTACCCAAGGACATGACGGTAGCCGGCATCGAACCTGCAACAGTCCGATTTCTGGACAACCCATTCTACCTCCTGTGCTACTGCTGTCCTGATATGGTTGACCTGGGTGGTGGAGTTCAGCGTATCTGGGGTGACCATATATTTTGATTTCCAAAAAAAGAGGACAATTAATCTGCCTGGAGACACACCCCACTGACAAGGAAATTGTTCCAGCCCTCACAGCGCCGGCCAGTCTGATGGCTGGCCAATTACAGCGCTTTATCAATTAAGTGGGCAGGATGTTACTGCGCCTGAGTGAAACAAAGATGGCAACGGCTCGTTTTAAATGGTTTTGGCATCAACTTTGGACATTTTAGACTTGGGCTTTTCTTTGAGTCAAGAGCAGATATAGGTACTTAAGTCCTTTCGGTAGAAAGAGGATAAATTTGTGTCTTCAACAGTTGGATTGCCCCGTTGACTAACATCCATAGAGATGAGTATATCACATTGTTCGTTGTCCAATAGCATGTGGAGACAGTTTAAAAGACAACCATATATTCTGCCCTACGAATGGGATCAGACCAGACTACATAGTCACATCTATGACTTGCTAGGATAGATTTGTTTAGCTATAAGCTATAATATTCTTAATTTACAAATAATGGCTGGAATTATTTATCGAGATATCAAATGAATCTTAAATGAACAAACTTTTCAACTATATTCAAGTTTTTTTAGAGGTAGCCTAGCTGTAGTTGACTTTATAGTTCTGGCTGAGAGTTTAGTTTTTATAGGAAGTAAGTCACATTGTCATAAGCAGTAATCAGGGACCCATCATAAGGCCACATGTGGCACAGATGATGTGGGCCCAAAAACCCAGGTGAAGCCCACCTTCCGTCTTCTAGGTATGCCCACATGAGGGCACCATGGAACGCCTGGATAAAATTAACTGTACCCAAGCCCCCACAATGCGGGTCTGAAATTGACAACTGCAGAAGTTAAAAAAAAAAAAAAAATATATATATATATATATATATATATATATATATATATATATATATATATATATATATACATATATGTATATATATGTATACATATATGTATACACACACACACACACACACACACACACACACACACACACACACACACACACACACACACACACACACACACACACACACACACACACACACATGACCGTAACCCAGCTGGAATGGGTCCTGTCCCAGTGAGTCATCGTCATAATGGCTGGAAGCTTGGATCAGGTTTGACCGCCTAATAGATACAAAGATGCTAAAGGAAAGCAGTCCTGCTCACAAATGTGAAATAAAAAATAAATAAATAAATAAATAAATACTGAGCAGGAAACTTATTTACGAAACCCATGTAGTGCGTAATTACGCTCCGCCCACTCAGCGCGCACCGCACCATATATTTATGTCGATGACCGCACCGCTCAGTCTGCGCGGAGGACCGCTATGAAATGCGCTGAAATCCCAAGACGGAGACTTACCCAACTCACGCTGACAGGGAAACCGACTCACATTGAATTCTAATGAGATTAAAATAAAAGTGAAGCGAACTTCTAGCAACAATGGGCCTTCATGGCTACAAGTAAGAGTAAGTCAACAACTTTATCGTGTAGAGTTAGCTTTGTTAGCTCAGAGACAAGCCTTTGTTCACCTGCTGGATGTGAGTTTAATAGATACCTATACCTTTGGCCTTAGATGAACTTTTCATAGTTTAGCAAGAGTTAGTGTAAAAATGAGCCAGGTTGCTTATGATTTCTCTCTCATTTAGCTGATAATTTAATAAAGCTAACAACCACATTGCTAGCGTTGGTTAGCGAGGGTGTTTAGTAGCTAACTCAAATAAGCTAACAGTATGACGGGGCTGTACTGTTAACGTTTTTAGCTTATAGCACTGGTACTACAAGGGTTATAGGTTTTGTAGCACAGAACATAAACTTGTAGCACCAGCATAAAAAATATGTTGCAATCTCTAAAAGTCAAATGTAGTTTTTATAATTCTTGCCTTTAAAGTTGCAAGGTGTGAAAAAGGTGACAACGCCTCGCCCGAACAACGCCCTTGCATGGTGCAGATTCGCATCGTTTGTGTTCTGTAGTGACCTTCACTGATATTTACATTTTTTTAATTGCAACAATAATCTATAGGAATAATTAAAACAAATCATAAATGTGTCATACATGTTTGAAAAAATGCAAACCTTTTTTTTTACCACGAGGTTCATACAAAATTATAAGGGGTCATCATGGGATCATTGGGAATTACGAGAAAAATTCACAGAACACCTAACATGAAAACATCTGAAAATATTCTAGAATACTATAATTATTCTTAAGAGATTATTTTTATGGGCTATGAGTGCTCCTGTTCTGAAGAGTTGGTTTTGATCAAATAGAAACAGCTGAAGCTGTAGGGAAGTTCAACTTTATCTCAGTTGTTTGCTTTAATAATTTAATAAACCACTATTCATCCATTTTCTGAACCCGCTTGTCCACGTAGGGTCGCGGGGGGCTGGTGCCTATCTCCAGCGGTCAGTGGGCAATTAGGTGGGGTACACCCTGGACAGAGTGCCAGTCCATCGCAGGGCAACACAGAGACATACAGGACAAACAATAATGCAAACACACAAACTCACAGCTAAGGACTAGGGATGCTCCGATCCGATCACGTGATCGGAAATCGGGCCCGATCACGTGACTTTTAAAAGATCGGAATCAGGTGTTAAAGATCGGATTTAACCTTATAAAACAACAAGCATGACATTTTTAATCAATCTTGAGTTTCAAATTGAATAACAATGGCTTAATTTTGTACCAAGTTTCACTTCCTCAATAACGACATGACACCATACGGCAGCTGTAATCCGCACGTTTTAAAGTGGACCGTGGAATTCAGGTAGCAGTTAGCTAGCAGGTTAATGCTCGTCTTGCTCCAGGAGAGCAAAAAATGTCAGCGGTTTGGAATCATTTTAAACTGGAGACCGAAGGCTGTCCAACAGCCACTTGCAACATTTGCAAACTGAGTGTTTCACGTGGTGGAAAAGACAGAGCTGCTTTTAACACCACAAACTTGATCCGGCATCTTAAGAACAAACATCCAGCTCAATATTCCGAGTTCACCGCGGCAACGCAGATCAAAACATGGAGCCAGCCGACACTGGAAGCTATGCTGAAAAACAAAGAAAAACTTCCTAAGGATAGCGACAAGGCCAAGAACATCACAGCCAAGATAGCTGAATTTATTGCACTAGATGACCAGCCACTGTCTGTGGTTTCAAACGTAGGATTTCGCCGTCTCATGGAGCACCTGGAGCCACGGTACGAGTTACCTTCTCGAAGCTACTTTACAGACACAGCTCTGCCCAGCATTCACAACAAGCTACGTGACCACCTGTTAGTCATGTTATCAAAGGTGTCTGCTTTTGGGTTTACCACAGACATATGGAGTTCGTCTGTTTGTCCATTGTCACTGATCAGCTTCACTGCACAATGGATCGACTCGAGTTTCAATTTACAACGTGCTATGTTAAATGTGCAACATTTTCGCGGATCTCACACAGCAGAGCATGTGAAACAGGCTATCGAAGAGATGCTGAACATTTGGGGAATTGAAAAGGAACGTGTCCATGTAATTGTGCGTGACAATGTGCGAAATATGAAGAGAGCCATGGAGGATTTGGCAGTACCGAGCTTGGGCTGTGTTTAGGGCTGCAACAAACGATTATTTGGATAATCGATTAATCGGATGGGGTCTCGACACGATTAATCGATTAATCGGATTACATAGGGACATTTTTAAAAACTGCTAGGGAAACGTTATTTTTCTCCTTCCTTCACTTTATTAAACACAGCATTATTAGAAAACAGTTCAATAGCAGAAAAACAACATGCCATCACCTAAATTGTCTTATAAGGTGTATAGACAGAGACCCTAAGCTACACCAATCTGTGACCTAAAATGCTTGGTCCAAGTTAAACAGCTTAAAGAGCAAGTCAACCCCTACCAGAGTCTAACTCCACTCCTGCTTTATGTTTGAAAAATGCAACACATGCTGTTGCCTGGCAGACCGAGAGGGCAGAGCCACTAACAAATACACACACACTCAGGCTCACGACAGCATTGTGACATCATAATGTACCAGTTTACATCATATCATACTTCTTAGCCAATAGCGGTGGCAGATTTAAATTAAAATACAGT